ACCTTAGATTGGTAGGTGGAGAGTGACTGGCGGGAGGATGTCTAAGAAACCTAGCCCAGCGAGAGAGGAGAGAGAAAGAAACCGTCGAAACCTTATTTGATTGGCGCGCTGTTCATATGTTCTATAAACTAAAGACAAAAATTACCAGCGGCGTAGTAGCGCAGTGGTTGAGTCCGAACTGGAATAGAAAGGTCGTGGGCTCGAAACCTGAACGCAGCTTTTGCAAACCTCTACCAGAAACATAAAATCATACTCGGTACTAGAAGTTGCACAGACCTTTACAAATATAGTAAGAGAAAATTCAAACCTTTACATTAACAGTTGCACAAAATGCATTTCTTCTGCGAAACGCTTCGCAACCCTAAGACGATTTCGTCGCCTCTTGTTTCAGTTGCACTTCCCAGCCCTCGTCCAGCACTGAATTCAGCCGGCTGGTCTTTCATTCCGCCAGCTGGTCTTTCAAATCTCAGATTCGTGAAAGCTCGAGACGGGACCTAGGAAGCTTATGGCTCCATGCAGGAGCGAGGAGCCTGGGTGCTCAAAAAGCGCGGCTAGAATGGGTACCACTCACGGGGAATGAAGCCTAACGTACTCTACCTACCCTACCTTATCTCATCTCACACGACCATATCCCACTGATCTGGGAGGCTAAGGGGCTCACTTCCATTACTGCCATTTCTCATTTCGCATTTCTCATCTCTGCCATTTCTCCTTAAAGTCAGCCTGTTTGAGATCCTGTCAGTCCTTCCTTTTCCCGTGTTTCGTCAGAAGTTAGTTTTTGTTCAAGTCACCTTGGTTTCCATAGTCACTATCGTGCTTTCACGTCGACCTAGATCAGTAACGATGTCCGACGAGTCTCCGATCCGGCGTTTATCCGGCGACTTGCTCGCCAAGATCCTGCACCTAGGTGTTCGACCCGACGAGTTTCAGCATGCTCTGGTGTGCACGGGGTGGCGTGAAGTAGCGTATTGCGTGCAGGACGTCCTTAGCGTGTCCCAGGCCCCCAGAAGTCAGAAAAATTTCTCTGATTTGCATAAAAAAACTCTGATTTCCAGACCTTTTTTAAGTGCAACTCTGAAAGTTCAGAATTTTTAATATCCTCACCTCTGAAAGTTCAGAGTTTTTTATGGCCTCAAATCTGAAAGTTCAGAGTTTTTTTTCTAGTGTACTCTGTTTGACCAGACTAGAAACGCGTACCGACTCTGATTCAATGTACCTGTTTTGGCCCCGTCACCCGGGATTAGCGGTGGCACAAGACTGTTACCCCGTCAATCACGGGTGATCAGTGACAGCACATCAGTTTCCACACCGACGCTGCCCTGCGGCGCGGTTTCCCCCTCGTAAGCACCAGCGCACACCAGCTTTGGGTGTTGATTGGTCCTCTTGGCAGCTTTTGCTAGCCGCACTGGACTTCAACGGCACCCACGTTGCTGCATTTGGCAGCCACGAAACACTGCAGACAGCAGTGCACGGCAGTAGCGGCTCGTGGTTTGGCGTGCATGGTAGGCAACCAGCCCACTGGAACGATGGCCCGCGAAGGGGCAAAGAGCCATCGTCGGAGAGCTGGGGTTTCATCCCCACCTCAGGCTTCAGCAGCCTCCCAGTGCTTTTTGTTTGCTGCCACCACCTCCCTAGTGCCTGCTCGGCAGGCTTTCTCAGCCCCGCCATGGCGGTTCTCGACGGTTCTGGCTCAGGCGATGACGATGATGCCGTCCCTCATGCTAAAACCGGCCTAGACTTTCTGCTTAGCTCCCTAGCACTAGAGAACATTGCGCGTTCTACGCCTGACACAATCCCCATCCCGAAGGAAGCTGCACCTGCTGTCTTAAGTCCACCTGATGCTGCTGAGGCGATGGACGAAGAACCCACCGTTGGTTCTGCACCGCAGCATGTCGTGAAGTCGCCGGCCACTGCTGCAGCCCGCAACGTCCGACTCAAGCAGGCGACGCTCAGTTTCGGGAAGACGTCTGCGACGGCTGTGGTCGAGAACAACGTTGCCGGCCCACCTGAAACGCCTCGTCCACGGCTGACCATCGATATGGACCAGATCATCGCGGATTTGTATGAGGACGCACACGACAAGTTCAAGTCCCAGTGGTCTGCTCGCTTTCCCTGGCTCGTGCTAATAAAAAACTCCGCTGGACTCCCTGGATTTAAGTGCAGTGTCTGTGAAGCCCATGCAGGCATCCGAGGCAAATGTGGGAGGCGCGGGAAAGGAGCTACAGACGTGCAAACACAATCCTTCCGTAAGCACGCCGGCACACAGAAGCACAAGCTGGCGATGTCAAAGTTAGCCATTCTGAAGGAGAACGGGGCTCGGCAGCCGCTGATCGATCAAGTCACGGTCGACGAGGAGAAGCTGCGCGTGGAGTCCCTTCTTGATTCACTGCTGTTTGTCAGCAGGTGCGACGCGCCAATGGGAGTGTGGGTGAATCTTGTTCGGTACTTGGCGGAGAAGGGCGTGAAGGGTTTTCCCAAGAAGTGCTACGGCACATACTACACCACGTAAGTGATGCTAATTGGTTTGTACATAGTATGTAACCATCCTTTTCACGTTCAATACGATTCACTGACAATGAACTTTTATGTGCAGGTACGGGTTCGGGGAGTTAACGCAGGCGACGGCAACGTGGCTTCAGACAACCCAGCTGGAGCACGTGCTGACAAGTCCCTTCGTCGGCATCTCCATCGACGAGAGCACGGATCGGTGCAGTGGGAAACACATGATACTCTACATCAGCTTCGTCCGCGACAGCAAGGTGGCGACAGAGTTCATGGCCCTCATCACCGTGGACAAGGGGGACGCTGCCACACTGCTTGGCCTCCTGGTTTCGCACCTGCAGGCCGTCGGCGTTGACTTGAGGCGGATTTCCGGCATCAGCACTGATGGCGCCAACGTGATGATGGGTAGCAAGGGGGGCTTGGTGACGCGCCTCCGCCTGCGCATCCCCCATTTGGTGTCTTCCCACTGCATCGCGCACAGGTAAATGAACTAATGTTTGGTGCATGATTTTATTTAAAGACACAGTTCTAACCAAGCCTTGTACTTGTTTCAGGGAGGCTTTGGCGGCCAAGCATGCTGCAGAGGACATCCCGGCTTTCAATGTCGTCGACAAGGTGATCCGCACCGTGGCTGAGCATCTCGCCAGGTCGGGGCCGTGGCATCAGCGGTTCCTGGATCTCCAAGAAGTCTTCACCTCAACGAGCCTGGAACTGCAAGGGATCCACACCGTGCGCTGGCTCTCGCGGGGCGATGCTGTGCTGCGGTTTATCGCCGTGCTTCCAGCGCTGATCGTCATGCTGAAAGAGTGGGATGCTGACCTGTATGCGCTGGTGACGAGCTACAGGTTTCACTTTCTTCTTTTTTTCATTGCAGACGTGCTTGAGCAGCTGAACATCTTGAACAGGGCCTTCCAGCACAAGGAGGTGAGCATGAAAACGGTGTTTCCCTTGTACATGGTGTAGTCGGTTTGTTGTTGCTTGCGGTTTGTCACTAACATTTGTTTTCTTACCTTGTTTACCCAGCTGGATTATGAGGCGTCTATGGGCAGATCAAGCGCACCACCGCTCACATCGAGCACCGCTATGTTGACTGCGGTGACGACTTCGGTGGCGGCGTAAGCGAGCGGCTGTCCCCTTTCATCGCGCGTCATGGGCCCGGAGGCAACAGGGAGGTGACCGTCGCTGGTGTTGACGCAGACGGGCAACCCACGACATTCGAATTCGTGCTGCACGAGGACGACCTGCCGGAGTTCGAGGGGCCCGCCACACATGATGGCTGCGTGGAGGTGTGCACTGCGTTCGCGGAGAAGATCGTCCATGAGCTGGAGTCTCGGCTTGGCGACCTGGAGGGAATGGCTGGGGCCAGGCTATTCACTCCTGATGAGTATCCACTGGACCGAGGAGAGAGGATCGCGAGATGCCTTCAGTGGCTGTCGTCCCTGGTCACCCTGTTCAAGGCAGAGCAACGCGAAGAAATCTTGCCAGGTAAGCCGTCCCCTACTGTAACTGTTCTTATTTCCTGTCAACACGATTCTCTGTTATGTGGTGCTATCTATGCCAATTGCGTCGTCTGATATCTCTGCGTAAACCCTTCCATTGTTCTACCAACCTGCGGCAGGAATCAACAAGCGGCGTGCGCAGAGGGAGGTGCGCATGTTCAGCTCGGTACTTGCAGCGGCCAGCAAGAACGAGCGCAGTTTCCATGCTGGACTCACCGCCATGCTGAAGACGCCGGACTGGCGGGAGAACTACCCGAACCTGGTGCAGCTGTGGGTGGCAGTAGCCGTTCTGCCGCTGAGCACCGTGGAGTGCGAGCGTGGGTTTTCGCGGCAGAACATCATCAAGTCCTGGCAGCGAGGGGCGATGAAGGATGCACGGCTGCATGATCTCACGTGCATGAGCCTCATGCAGTATGAGCCCAAGTGGGATGAGATTGTCACCATCTGGCGCAGCTACAAGAAGCGCAAGCCCCAGAGCAACGCTGCAATCGAGGCAGCAAGGGAACCGAGCAGGCAGGGCACTGATCCTGCAGATCGGATGGACGTAGTCGATCTAGGAGATGATGATGATGCTCTTGAATCTGATGACGATGACTGAGTAGTTCTACGTACGGTAGTTTTTAGTACAGGTAAGTAGATTATAGTAGTTAGCAGTAGTGGTAGCAGCAGCAGTAGTAGTAGTATATTGGTTTGGTAGTAGTAGTAGTAGTAGTAGATAGCTTTTGTAGTTAGTAGTATATTGGTTGGAGTGGATGAATGCTGTCCTGTCCTGTGCAATGTTAATGAGTGAAGCATGGATCCTAGACAGCAAAATCACAATCAGATGAACGTCAATTGGTAACTCTGAATAATCAGAGTTTTTTTTACGGACACTCTGAATTTTCAGACTTTACTTCTTAACAGACTCTGATAGCACAGACAACAATTCTGTACCAAGTCTGAACCCTCAGACAGCCCCAATAACGAATCTGAGGCCCTGGCGTGTCCGCTCGACGTAGCATGAATCATCGCCAGCTGCTTGCTCAACTCGCGTCGTTTCGTAGGCTCAAGAAACTCGTCCTTTTAGACGGGAGTTTGCTTGTCGTTCCGGACGCCTTCCTTGCTGGGCTTGTCGAATCGCATCCCGATTTAGTCTATCTTCACATCGGTGCGATGAAGGAGGCGTTCGAACGCGGCAATGCTTTCACTACGAATGGACTTTCACGCCTGTTCGAGGGTTGCACCCGACTAGAGGATCTGCGTTTCGTTTGTCCGCCGGGTGTCCGTACCATTCCACCTTCCATCAGCAGCCAATTTCGTCTGAGAAGACTTTCCCTCACAGCCCATAGGATTCAGCATCTTCCTGAAGCTTTTACCTCGTTGCAGTTGCTTGAGATCCTTGAACTATGCATGGAAGAGCTCCGCGATCTGCCACAGAACTTCGGTAGTCTAGTCGCTCTCAAGTCATTGCACCTGAAACGCGTTCGCTCTCTACGCTCACTCCCAACGTCCGTTCAGCAGCTCGCCAATCTGCACCATCTTTCCATCCAAGGCTGCGGGACATTTCAATTACCGGGTGGTCTCTCCAAGCTTCCACGACTGAAGGAGCTCGAGTTAGAAAACTGTGCAGATCTTTTGCCTCTGCCGGCGCTGGAAAACCTACGCTTTTTGGATGTAAAGGGAATCACGGAGCTTCCAGAGACTGTTGGGCTGCTGCAGCAACTGCAAATTCTTACCATCAAAAGCTACTCGACTAATTTCTCGTCGCTGCCCCGGACCTTGCCTGATGTGTCATCCCTCACGAGCCTCGACTTGAGGGTGCATAATCTTTCAGGCCTGCCAGATGGCATTGGCCGATTATCAAAGCTTCAAACCGTCAAGCTGGAGAGTTACAGTGCTGTCCCGCTTGTCGCTCCAAGAATATCTTCCCTGCCTGATGACTTCGGGCAGCTGACTGCGTTGAAGATTCTGCATTTGTCATACCTTGGAGAACTCAGTCATTTACCAGAATCCCTCGGACATTTGCTGAAATTGCGGGAGCTGGAGATTTCTTACTGTGATCAGCTGCAGCAGCTACCCAACTCTTTTACCCAGTTATCTTCTCTTCATATTCTAAAAGTTGAGCATTGCCCAAAGCTAACTGCTATACCAGAGGGTCTGGGGGATGGGATGTGCCATCTTCGTGAGCTGCGTTTAGTTTGCAACGGTCTAAGCCCTGTCCCTGGATCCTTCTCTCGCCTGTCGTCACTTGAAGTATTACACATCGTATACAGCGAGTTCTTAGGAGATTGCTTGTCCGAGAGCTTCAACAGCTTTACACGCCTTAGGCACCTCTCTTTATCGGACATCCCGAATCTAACTTCCCTTCCTACCTCGCTCTCCAGAATGGCTCTCACCCTTACAAGCCTGAAAGTGGCTGCTTGCGAGGAGCTGAAAGCGTTACCAGAGGAGATAGGGCAGCTGGTCATGCTGGAAAAGCTTGAGCTTTCCAGTTTAGATGGATGGAATCTCTACCTCGGTCGTTGTTGAAGCTGCCTCGATTGAAGGACCTTCGGGTTTTTGAATGCATGGGCCTGGGCGAACGGTGCACAATGGATGCCTTGGTTGGCGGGAGCAGTGGCGGCAGCAGCAGCACTTCCGAGTGCGTTGAAGCAAACAATGTGCTTCCGTCGCTGCAAGAGATATCCATTCGGAGTGTTTATTCCGAAGAACTTGATCCAACCTTAGGTTGTGTGTTTTCATTAAAGAAACTGTCTTTGGAGGATATGTATGCACTTTGTGCAATTCCTGCTTCCATTTCTCAGTTGTCCAACCTGCAGGACTTGTACATCTGCGCCAGTCTGCCCTTGAAGCACTACCGGAAGCAGTGGGCCGACTCTCGCAACTAACTTCTCTTGAACTGTATGACTTAAAAAGCTAGCGGGAGCTTCCCAAGTCGTTTGGACAGCTGAAGAAGCTCAGGTCACTCTACATCGATGATTGCCCAGAGTTATACGAGCTTCCTGAGTCGTTTTCCAGATTGCCCAACTTACGCATTTGCTCGCTCAGCGATTGCCCAAAATTGTCATTCCTTCCACAAGACTTTGGAAACCTGTTTTCCCTCCAAGAGCTTGTCCTGTTTTATCTGCCTAGTCTCCGTAGACTCCCTGAATCTTTTCAGGATCTGATTCGGTTGAAGCGGCTGCTGTTGGAGGATTGTGAGCAGCTGGCCCAGCTGCCACCCTCTCTCCACAACCTGCCAATGCTACAGGAGTGCACGATCATTGACTGCCCTTTGATTTCGAACGGACGTGAGACGATTTTTGGACGGGGGTATTGCACAGATTGAATCACGCAGGTTAGAAGGGGTGCAGGGAGAGGAAGTGGAAAGGAGGGAGATGGTGATATGATGGTGAAGGAGTGGAGGTAGATGGGATGGTTGCTGCTGCTGAGGGAATCATGCACTTTGGAAGGGGAGGGAGAGGAAGTGGAAAGGAGGGAGATGGGATGGTTGCTGCTGCTGAGGGAATCATGCACTTTGGAAGGGGTGCAGGGAGAGGAAGTGGAAAGGAGGGAGATGGGATGGTTGCTGCTGCTGAGGGAATCATGCACTTTGGAAGGGGTGCAGGGAGAGGAAGTGGATGGGAGGGAGATGGGATGGTTGCTGCTGCTGAGGGAATCATGCACTTTGGAAGGGGTGCAGGGAGAGGAAGTGGACAGGAGGGAGTTGGGATGGTTGCTGCTGCTGAGGGAATCATGCACTTTGGAAGGGGTGCAGGGAGAGGAAGTGGACAGGAGGGAGATGGGATGGTTGCTGCTGCTGAGGGAATCATGCACTTTGGAAGGGGTGCAGGGAGAGGAAGTGGACAGGAGGGAGATGGGATGGTTGCTGCTGCTGAGGGAATCATGGGGGCTTACGTGGCGCTGAGGGCGCTCCGTTACCTGCCGCCGCACCGGTGAGTGCGTCGTGACCGGTGTCTTGCCTGGGTCTGTCGTGAGCAGGTTACCGTTGTAACTATGATTTGGAAGAAATTTTCCACTTTGTCATACGGCCCCTCCCTGTCGCGCCTTCGCTCGCTGAGAGGTGGTGATAGCAGCTTTTTCATATTGGGCTGAATGATGCGATGATTTTTTAGTCGTCGCAGAAGTGATGCCCTCTCTCCTCCCATCACCATTGCATCTCCCTCTGCCCTCCCCTGAAACAGAGCGCCTATGTGCCAAGGACAGGACTGCTGAGCTTAGATAGGCTGCTGCTGACACAAGCAAAAGATTTGAGGCGCATCAACAGAGCGCCTGTGTGCCAAGGACAGCACTGCTGAGCTTCCGGCTGTGGCTTCCCAAGATTGACCTGGGTGACTGCAAGAATGAAAAGAGCGAGTGGGAACATGCCTGCTTCATTCTTATGTTGGCTACACTGCCCTGTGATGCAGTGCTACGTGCGGTGGTGGAGTGGAGGGAGGGATGTGGTTTGATTGGTGCAAGTTTGGCTTACTGGTATTCAAGGCTGATGCGAGCCTTACTGGCTTACATAACAACACGTTCTCTTCTTATATTGACTCTTATTGTGGAAGGGCCTCAACCGGCCTCTTCGCGTCTTATCATTGCCATTTGTGGTGGAGTATAAAATATTGTAATGGTAACACATAAGCTATGGTAGGGTGTGCCTGACCGTCTACTGCAGCAGCAACGCTAGTGCCCACCCCGTCTACCCACCAGCTGCCTCCCCCTCACCGCCTTCTCGCCACCCTCCACCCCTCCCTGCCCGCCGTCCTCTCCCTGTGTCGGATACTCGTACACGCCGCGCCCGCTCTTGCGACCCAGCCACCCGGCATCCACGTACTGCACGAGCAGCGGGCAGGGGCGGTACTTGGCGTCTCCCAGGCCCGCGTGCAGCACTCGCATGATGGCCACGCATGTGTCCAGCCCTATCAGGTCCGCCAGGTGCAAAGGTCCCATGGGCTGAGGGTAAGGGGCAGAGAGGGGAGGGTACCGCACAGTGGTGGGAAAGGTGAGATAAAAGCAGAGGGCAGGGGCGGTACTTGGCGTGAGGGGAAAGCACCACAACACCCACCTGGTTGGTGCCGAGCTTCATCCCTCTGTCAATGTCCTGAGCCGTGCCCACCCCCTCCAGCAGCGCATAGAACGCCCCGTTGACTATGGACACGAGCAGAGAGAGGCGTGAGGGAGAGGCACAAACAACACCATGCCTTCATGGGTACGACCCACCTGATTAGTGCCGAGCTTCATGCCTCTGTCAATGTCCTGAGCCGTGCCCACCCCTTCTAGAAGGGCATAGAAAGCCTTGTTGATCATGAGCATGAGCAGAGAGAGTCAAAGGCAGGCAGTACCCATGTCCTCCCCTCATGGGCATGAGCAGGGAGAGGCAAGCAAACGCATGAGCAAACCACACTCACCTGGTTAGTGCCCAGCTTCATCCCTTTGTCGATGTCCTGTGCCGTGCCCACCCCCTCCAGCAGAGCATAGAATGCCTCGTTAATCATGGGCATGAGCAGGCGGTTCACTATAAACCCCGGATAGTCCCGCGCCTCACACACCGCCTTCCCGAACCTGGACAGTAGGCTCGGTTGAGGGGAAGAGCACGCAGAGGCAGTGATGCACACAGTGAGCCAGGAGGGAAACAAAGCCATGTTCAACAATATTGATTGTTCTACCACCGAGCATACCCACTCTCCTACTCAACTGTGCGCCCATCCACATCCTCCCCCGGCCAGTGCACCCATCCCACCCACCTATGCGCCCATCCCCTATAACCATCCACGCCTATCCATCCCACCTGTGCGCAAGCCCCTTGGTGAGGTGCAGTGTGTGGTCTGACGTGGCAAGCCCTGGCACCACCTCCCCATCCACCCACCTGTGCGCCCAACCCCCCACCTGTGCGCCCAACCCCCCACCTGTGCGCCCAACCCCCCACCTGTGCGCCCAACCCCCCACCTGTGCGCCCATACCCGCCCATCTCCCACACCTGTGCGCGAGGCCCTTCGTGAGGTGCAAGGTATGGTCTGACGTGGCAAGCCCTGGCACCACCTCCACCAATGACATGATGACAGGCGGGTTCATAAAGTGCATGCCGATCACCTGGGGTGGGGGTGGGGGGGAGAGGCATGGGAAGTGGGGAGAGGAGAGGGCATGAGGAATGAGTCGTGGGAGTGAGTGTGACGTGGTGGCATGTGGCGAGCCCTGGCACCACTCCACCAGTGACATGATGACAGGCGGGTTCATGAAATGCATGCCGATTACCTAAGCATGGGAAGGGGACGGAGGGCAGGACATGAGGCATGAGAGTGTGGTGTGTTGGCACGTGGCAAGCCATGGAAACACCTCCACTCCACCAGGGACATGAAGTGCAAGCCATCACACTGCCTGTCTCTCATGCGCCCTAACTAACCTGATCGGGTCGGCTGGTGGCAGCGGCAAGGCGGGTGATGGAGATGGAGGAGGTGTTACTCGCCAGCACCGCGTGGTGCGGTGCGATGCCGTCCAGCCGGCCAATCACATTGCGTTTCACCGCTTCACTCTCTGCCACCGCCTCAACAACGAAATCTGCATTCTCCAGGGGAGTTAGTTCAGGGGTGGTGCGGATGCGGGATAGTGTTGCCGCTGCTGCTGCCTGTGAGGCAGAAGAAAGAAGGGGCGTGGAGAGCGGGGTTTACATATGAGAATGCGTTTCACCGCCTCGCTCTCTGCTACCGCCTCCACTATAGAGTCTGCCTGCTCCAAAGGAGTGAGCTCTGGCGTAGTGCGAATCCTGGTTAGTGTCGCCGCTGCTGCTGCCTGGGAGAAGGGCGTGGGGGATGGGGTAGGGGATAGGGTGTGGGATGCATTGAGGTACGCTGCACTAAACTTCACTCTCTCTCTGCCACGGCCTCCAAAGTCCACGTGCTCCAGGGGTGTTAGTTCTGGGGTGGTGCGGATGCGCGCCACTGCTGCCGCCGCTGCTGCCTGGGGCAGGGTGGGTGAGGCAGGGGTGTGAGATGGGTGTGAGAGACTGTGCTGTGTTTCACCGCCTCGCTCTCTGCCACCGCCTCCACAATCAACTCTGCACTTTCTAGGGGTGTCAGTTCTGGAGTAGTTTGGATCCGGGAGAGTGTTTGCCGCTGCTGCTGCCAGGAAGAAAGATGAGAGCAGGGGCGTGAATGACGGGGTTCCCTTTTGCGAGAGAAAGAACGCAGTTCACCGCGTAGCTCTCTACCACGGCCTCCTCAATGAGTCGGCCTGCTCCAATGGAGTCAGCTTAGGGGTGGTGCAAAGCGGCCCAGAGAACGCTTGATGCCGTCCATGCGCCCATGCCCCCATGAAACCATGACCCACTCCAACCCCAATCCTATTCCCCCCACCTCATCCAGCCGTCCCTTGCTGACAAGCCGGCCCAGCGAGTGCGTGATGCCGGCCATGCAGCGATCCAGCGCTGCCAGACTCGTGTCCGCCACCACCACCCGCATGCCCGCCATGGCTGCAGCATGAAGGGGGACGGGGAGGCGGAACGGGAGGGGAGGCGGAAAGGGAGAGAGAGGGGGAGGCGGAAGGGAAGTGGGGAAGGGAGTGCTTGATGCCGGCCATGCATCGATCCAGCGCTGCCAGACTCGTGTCTGCCACCACCACGCGCATGCCCGCCATGGCTGCCATTGGGGGGAATGGGGGAGGGGGAGGGGGAGGGGGGGAAGAGGACTGGAGGGGCGAAACGGGGAGGGGGAGGAGGGGAAGAGGAGTGGAGGGGGGAAAGGGAGGGATTGAGGGGGGGCAACGACAAAGGCCATGCTAGCAGCTGAGCGATTCCGCACAGGGTCATCACTACCTGGCACCTGCTGTAGAGGGTAGTGCGACACCCACTCACCTCCCAGCTGCGCAATTCCGCTCCCCATCTGCCCTGCGCCCACCACCCCCAGCACCTGCAGCTCTGCCGCTGCCTTCTGCCCCGCCAGTTCCCCTGGTGACACGTCAGCCTCCGCCACGTCAGCTGGTTTGCCTGCCTCGCCAGAGGAAAAGCTACGTGAAGGATTTCCGGCTATTGGTGTGCTTACAACGGGAGTGCTTAACGCGGATGTGCCTAGAGCGAAGGGCGCGTGGGGAGCCCATCCACCGCGTCTCGCTATAAGCGCGCGCGTGAGAGAGCAGGATCGGCGCGCGTGGAGCGAGACGCGTGCCGAGGCCATGGGCGGGACGCGCGGGAGCGCGAAGTGCGCTGATGTGCGTGAGCAAGGGAGCGAGACGAGGGTTGGCGCGCGTGGAGCGCGAGGCGTGAGTATGCAGCGGAAAGGCTACGCTGCTGTGCGGCGCACAGTGTGCGCGTGTGTGGAGTTGGCGCGTGTGTGGGGAAGCCTGGAGCGACGTGACGAGGCGCGCGAAGGGGGAGGAGGGAGCACAGGCGAAGCGTGGACGATGTTCGAGGCGTGAGCGACGGGTATGTGTCGCCGCTGTGTGCCGCGCAGGGCGGGTGTGGGTGGGTACGGCGCGCGGAGCGGCCGGGCGGGGTGACGAGGGGAAGGGGAGAGGGCGGAAGCAGAGGCGTGCACGACAGCGCGAGAGACGGGTATGTGCGCGAACGACGACAGTCGGACAGCAGGATGAACGGAGAAAAAACACTCGAAACTGACTCGCCGGTTCGGGCTGGAAATACGAGACGTGATGGTAGAGCCTCCGTCGCTCGCAGGCGAGTGGGCTGCCTTGGACTGGATTGGGATGCGCTGGTGTGGGGCTGGTTTGCGGCTTGTGCGTTGGTGGGGGCGAAAAATGCGAATGGCGCAGATTTTGCAGCCGGTGGGGGATTTTGAGGGGAACGGGGAGGTGACGTGGTAATGCTCCGAATTGACGATATGCACTCGTCATTGTAGGAGGGGAATGGCGTGGCAGCAAACTTTTGACCCGATACAATAATAAGTACACTTACAAGGACCGTACATGAAGGGCTAGCACTACAGAGATTCTTACCCACTCCACAATTCTGCTGATTTCTTTGAACACTATATAATGTAGGCCTTTATTTAATGTTACTGAAAAAACAGTCCTAAATGCCATCCATCGAGCCGATGGGATGGGATGTATGCATCTTCAAACTCTCAGCACAACTTAAGCATCCCCATCAGGCAAGCTCCCCCTACCCCACAAAATTCTGAGCAAAAATGCTCACTGTGCCCACTGCATCCACACGCAGCCACAAGTATATGAGCCCAATGCCTGCACACAGGCCGTGCATTCCGCAAGGCTGTCCTCGGCCTAAGAGGGCTACTCATGCCTCCTCACTTGGCCTCGGACCAGTCGTAAATCATCTTGGTGTAGTACTTTTTAAATGCCCTCTCCTTTCTTATCTGCGGCAGAGTCATTTTGGACAGCCATGGGGCGTGCTTGGACGAGCGGAGGCGGAGACAGGGCGGTTCAGAGAGGTCCTGAGGCATTTGGCAGGCGTGGGAGAAGTCAAACTCGCGGTACTGCGCTTGAATGGGGCCGTTGGTGTAGTTCGCCTTCAGCCAGCTCCACGACGAGGAGTCCCATATTGAAGCCTGCAAAAACGGGTACAGACATCGGGGGAAGAGATGGGCACAAGTGTGTGAAGGGTGGGACAACTGGAAGGCAGGCAGGGGTATGACGATTGAAAACAACAATCAACTAACTCACACTAAAAAATTCAGCGAGTAGCAGAACGTACCTTGAATTCCATGGGCAGCGTTGGGAACGGATGGCCCGTCTCATTGACAGTGATCCGTATCGGGTAGTCGTCCACCATCCACATAACATACATCGGAGAGTACACTATCGAGTACGTGTGGAAATCCGCGGAGGGATCAAACGGGAATTTGAACTGCTCCAGCTTGACCTGCCCGCCCGTGATAAGATTCGTGTGCATGATGATATCGTTGGGGGTTTCCCCGCCGATGAACTCAAAGTCGATCTCATCGTGAATGTCCGTGTAGCCCTGAGGGCCCGGCGAGATGAGGTAGAAGCACGGGATGATGCCACCCGAGTAGTTGCTGGGGAGCCTCATGCGCAGTGAATAGACGCCGTACTTGTAGTAGTCTTTCGAGTAGAACACTGGTGGGGGGCGAGGAGGTGAGCGGGCGGGGGGTGTAGGTGGGAGTTGAGACGCGTTGTTTGTTGAGCTTCATGCACAGGCAGGCTGTAGACTCCGTACTTGTAGTAGTCTTTGGAGTAGGACACTGGTGGAAGATGGGGGGTGAGGAGGTGGGGAGTGGGGGGAGGGGGGTGGCGATGGGGGATGAGAGGAGTTGATTTTTGAGCTTCATGCGCAGTGAATAGACTCCGTACTTGTAGTAGTCTTTCGAGTAGAACACTGGTGGGGGGTTCAGGGGTTGGGGAGTGGGGGGAGGGGGGTGGGGATGGGGGTTGAGAGGAGTTGGTTTTTGAGCTTCATGCGCTGTAGACGCCGTACTTGTAGTAGTCATTGGAGTAAAACACTGGTGGGGGATGGGGCAACGGGAGGGGGAAAAGGGAGAGAAGCTGAGGGGGTAGGCAGGCTGTACATGCCGTACTTGTAGTAGTAATCTTTGGAGTGGATCACTGATGGGGGGTGCGGGAGGAAGGGGGGGAGAGAGGGTTGGAATTGTGCCGTGTGGTCAAAATATTAGACGATTTTTTAAAGTTGGAATCGGGTTGACGTGAGGCTCACTCTTTAGCCCGCATCACTTGTCACAACGCCTCACCCTCGCAGTTCACCTCTCATTGAGCCTCAACACCCACTGCGCTCCACACCGCACTGCGCCTCACACCGAATTGCATCGCACCGCAAAGTATTGGTACCACTTACTAGAACTCCCAAAACCCAGACAAGCACCTCACAGCGCATTGCACTACACGGCACGTACATCCGACGGACTGGTTGTTGGCAGCGATCGTGTCGGTGCCGTTGCTGTCCTTGCATCACATTCGAGAACTCTCAACATTCACACACGCACCTCACACCGCATTGCACCACACTACACCGCACTGAACGTACATCCGACGGACTGGTTGTTGGCGGCGATCGTGACGGTGCCGTTGCTGTCCTTGCGGCAATTCGTGTCCTTGCACCAGTCGGGGAACTTAAAGTACTTGTCAAACGACTTATCCACTCCCGGCACCTTCTTGCGCGGCGGGACCGTCCACACGAACGGCTTGTCCGTTGAATTGCCACTTCCGCCCCCGCTCCCGGTTCCACCCCCGCTCCCAGTTCCGCCTCCGCTCCCGGTTCCGCCTCCGCTGCCCGTGCTGCCCGTGCTGCCCGTGCTGCCCGTGCTTCCCGTGCTGCCCGTGCTTCCCGTGCTGCCCGTGCTTCCCGTGCTGCCCGTGCTGTCCGTGCTGTTTGTGCTGCTGCCCGTGCTGTTCGTGCTGCTACCCGTGCTCTTTGTGCTGCCCGTGGTCCCCGTGTTACCCGATGAACCCGTGCTGTTGCCGCTGCTCACGGTCCCCCCGGTACTGTTAGTGCTGCTCCCGCTGGTATTCCCCGCACCGCTACCAGTTCCGCCACTGGACACAGTTCCCCCGGTTCCCCCCGCTCCCCCCGTGCTTCCGCTGGCCCCGGTGCTTCCGCTCGCGCCCGTTCCGCTTGCGGCCCGCGTCGTCTCGAGGTTCCCCTTCCCGCTCACGGGGGCGGGGGGGGTCTTTTTGGGGGAAGCGGAAGGTTGCGATGCGGGGGACTTTTGCACGGGTGGCTTCTGAGCAGGTGGGGAGCGCGGATTCGGTTTGGCGGGGGACTTGGCAGCTTGATGCGGGGGCTTCGGGGTAGAAGCACCGCTGCTATTCGCCTTGTGGGGACTCTTATTGCTGGATCCTGCAGGTGGGTTCTTATTGTTCCCCCCATTGGGCGGACTTTTATTGCTCGTGCCCTTAGGAGGGCTCTTATTGCTCGTGCCCTTTGGCGGGCTCTTGGTATTGGCCGGCGAAGCTGGGCTTTTGCCCGAAACCTTTGTTGGGCTCGGACTCTTGCCGCTGCTGATGCTGGCCTGCGTTGACCGCGTTGACTGGAACGAAGTGGCCTCGGCTGTGACAACAGCGCGAGCGATCGCGACATCGTGTGGGATGATCACCGACGCCGTTGTAGCGAGGGGTTCGTGGGGGTCCCGGAATCTACCCCCGAAATCCGAGGGTACCACGTCTGCTGGTCTGGGGGCAGTGTGGCGCTCCAGGTTGTTGCCAGCAAGCGATCGGCCGGGCCAGTGCGCGGCTCTCCGCGAACGCGCGGACGAATGGAAGGCTGAGGTTTGCGCGAGGAGCGCAAGTGTGGGAAGAAGCGCGCCAAGAAGTCGCAAAAGTGCGGAGCCTTGGCATGGCTGCCGGCAGAACGGTAGACGGCCTCTAGAAGTTGCCATCGCTGGCAACGGGTCTCGCCTCAGGTAAGAAGGGGAGAGTACTGACGCTGATCCAACTGATTCTTTGTGTGAGAACGGGTTTCTAGAGATTGTTTTCTAGTGGCGATTCCAGTAGATGATTTAGCAGCAAGTTTTGGTCCTCCAGCTCGCTAAAAAGCTAGTGACTGATTGTCCTGAATTCACTTCAACAGATTCAGCAACTAACGGATAGCAACGGTTGTTTCAGGATGATTTGTGTCGTCGAGAGGACGCGTGTGATCTCCATGGCAGGTGAACGTCGAACGACATTGCAGGGCAGGGAGTAACGAAGGGGAGGTATGATTGGGAAGTTCATGGGAAGGAGAAGGGAGGACGTACAGGGGTACAGCTGGGTTGATGCTTGGACCAGCGCGATTTGATAATTGTGCAAATTGCTAGCTCGCATTTCCCTTGGCGGCACTTGGAATATCCGAGTCGCGTACATTTGATCACGAATGCATTTGCCATTTCTGCGATGGCGGATTCTTGGCGACACGTTGAAGCCCCCTGCGAACGCCGTCGGTCAGAAAGAAATCGCCTCGCGCGTGTGTTGCGCTGGGAAAGCGCTGCTTGGAGTGGTCGGTCAGGGCGATCGCGAGTCGCATGTGCGATGCGACAACAGCGACGTCTCGTGGTTATGAGTTTCGTCGGAATTTCCTCGCCTAGCTGGAAGAACGTTGCCCATTGAACTACATAAGCTTACACTACTTGTCGTGTGCTTCAAGCAAGTATAACGGGTTGCTATGTTGTTATTTTGGTTGTGCAAATCATTCGTACAAAAAAAATCAGAATGCTGCAATTGGTCCCGATTATTCAAACCCTGCATTATGTGCTAAAGGAGGGAAGCTCACTTCACTTAATTCCAACATTTATTTCCAAGCAACTCATTGAAACAGTAATGTGCAGGTTGGACTCTTATTGGCACGATCAATAAACATCCCCCTACTCGTTATTGCAATGGGGCATGTCGCCCTAGCAGCATTTCCCAGAAGCATGTCGCCATAGGAGCATATCGAGTTACCTACACGTTCTACGTTATTCCTAACGAAGGGGAAATTGCGCTGTCGCCACCTACGCTATAGCCATTCCCGTCCTCTCACGCGGCGGGGCCCCAAGGGTAGTCAGCCACAAGATACTTTTGCCGGTACTGTCTAAAACGCGCCAGCTGCGCTGCTGTCGGAACGCCCATCCACGGCGCCTGGGCGACGTTGCGCCACGACTTGCAGGGAGGCACGGCGCCGCTGGGCGGCACGCGGCACGTCCTGCTCACGTCGAAGTGGCTGTACTGCACCTTGATCGGGCCGTTCGCGTAGCTGGGCTTGAGCTTGCTCCACGACGACGCGTCCCAAATGGAGCCCTGGAGAGAAATTTGAGGGACATTCGAAAAATATTGGAAAAGGGTTAACGAGGGTTCACATTTGGGAAGAGCGGCACTTCGTGGGCTGGAAGAGGGCTTGATTCCTTGTGGAGGCTATAGACCAACTTCAACACAGTAAAGAAACGCACTTTACTGCACCTGAATCCTCGCGTCTTGGTTTCAGTCATCCTCGATGTTACCGACTCACCATGATCTTCATGTTGCCGGACGGAAAGGGCTTCCCGGGCGTCCCGGCGGTAATGCGAATCGGCGTGTTGTCCACCAACCACATCACCCGATCGGGCGAGTACACGATCGTGTACGTGTGAAACGCCGCGGAGGGATCGAACGGGAAGCGGAACTGCTCCAGCTTGACCTGCCCGCCCGTGATAAGGTTGGTGTGGATGGTGATGTTGCGCGGGTCCGTGCCGCCGAGGAACTCGAGGTCGATCTCGTCGTGGATCGACTGGTATGACGTGGCGCCGGGGTTGATGAGGTAGATGCACGGGATGATGCCGCCCGAGTAGCCCACGGGGAGCTTCATTCGTACAGAGTAGACGCCGTAGCTGTATACGCCCTTGGACTCGAAGACTGAAATCGGGAGGGGGAGGGGGGGGGGGGGGGGGGGGGGGGGGGGGAGGGTTGGGAAGCAGGAACAGAAAGGTGTTAGGGTCGGAGTGAGAAGATAAGACGCTTCATCGTACGGAGTAGATGCCGTAGCTGTACTCACCCTTGGACTTGAAGACTGAAAGGGAAGTTGAGAAGAAAGACCGAAGAGTGTTAGGAATGTTTTGCTTTAGAGAGTTCGGGAAACGAGTGATATTCTCATTGCACGTAAACGATGATAATCTCATTCGTCTGTCTTATTTCGAGAAGACCTATCGCGCATGCTGTCGTCGCATGGCTTCATCACATGCTGTCATCGCATTTCGCTGTCGCACACGAACGTCGCTAGCGACCTCCGACGGATTTGGGCTGACGGCGAGCGCGATGCAGCGCGCAAGCGTGCAATAGGGCGGCTTACACCACAAAAGGAATAAACTTCTGAACGCATCAACGTCGCAGGCTCACCTCCGACGGAAATGCGGCTGACGGCAAGGGTGATGCTGTCGTCAGACGCATAAAGAAAATCGCAGGCTCACCTCCGACGGATTTAGGGCTGACGGCAAGAGTGATGCTGCCGTCAGGCGCGCTCGTGCAGAAGGGCGGCTTGCACCACGAGGCGAAGGCGAAGTTCTGGTTGAACGACACGTCCACTCGCTGCGCGCCGACGACCGCCATGGCGCTCACTGCAAGGATAACGGCGAGGAGACGGCGTGATAACGCCATGGCTGGAGGAAAGCCTGGCGATTTCGGCGACGAAAATGGGTGCTTCTGACTGTCTGCACGCTCGGATAGGCAGTGAGAGGCTGGAGGACGATGGGGAGAGGTTGAGGAGAGCAGCAGATAATGTGATTTCTTCTGGAGTGGCTCTGTAAAAAATTGATCTTAAGCTACCGAATATAAGGGGGTGCTGTGTCACTCTGTGCCGTGCGTCTGCTTGACCAGCTACTCACACTCCGCGCTGCGCTATCGCCAGTTATCAAGGAGCTGGGATGGTTGGCGAAGCGGGGCTAATTTATTTGTGTGACGGGTTGGCTGCCTGTACTTCGCGGTTGATTGTGAACTTCACCGCGTCGTTGGTTCTTGTTGATGCGGGTAGCGGGGAGCATGCGAACGAGCATTCCTGCGCGACACGGCAAGCTGTCGCGGTCCCGAGATGATGTGTGCCATTTTATTTTTCTGCCCACGGTGTACCTCGAACTCGCAACAGCAAAAAATTCCAGAACATCGAAGCAAAATACTGAAGAACAATGGGTGGTAAGCCCTCGTCATTCAAAATGTATGTACCCGCAAAAAAATACTGGTGACCCAGCTTTCCTTGTCACAGTTCTGTGCCGTGAAACGCGGCGCCCATGATATCCCACTTGCGAATCGCAAACGGCAATGGCCTTGAAATTGTTCCGTCGTGACTCGTCGGTAACACACTCCATACCTGCAATTGCGGCGACTCGACATCTTTCTGGAAGTGTAGAAGTACCAAATATACAGCGAAGTAATCAGTAAACAGAAGTTTAGTGGAGAGAATTGCTATCTAATGTGGGATGGGAACAGCATCATTATATCCTAAGCTTTCTACAATTAGCGCTGGGTTCCCACACCAGCACGCCTTGAGCCTTGACCCCTAAACCTAACACGTTCATCAGAAGTATTCCTATCTCCTCTCATTCTCACTACTCCTGCCCCTCGTTGCGAAACAACTGCCACTTTCTCCGTCCTATGTGCAACCCTACTACCACTGGTCACCTCCTCCCCTTTGTCTTCCTCCCCAGACACCACATCCGCCCCTCCATCTCCACTACTACTACCAGCGCCCGACACATCGACGCGGGAACTAACTATCCCCGAATCTACACCCCACTTAAGCCCCTCAATGCCTGCTGCTTCAAAAACCTCCTGCAGCTTCTGCTCTTCCCTCGTAAGAACACCCTCCACCTCCTCCCCATGCCTCAGTGCAAACTCCAACAACTTCCTCACTTCCTCCTCCAAGCTACTCCTCCCCGTGCCATCCCCTCCCTCACTCCCCCCGTCCCCTACACTCCCTCCACCACTACCACCACCAGACCTCCTCTCAGCCTGGGCCCGAACCACCATCTCAGCCAGCTCCGCAATCACCTTATCCTTCCGCCGAACCTCGCGCAGAACCTCCCGCCACCGGTCCTTGGCAATAGCCATGAGCCGAACCAGCACCTCATCCTTCTGCTCCAGGCGCCGCTCTAAGCTCTGCCACCTAGGGCCCCGACCAGGCCGGGGAGCAGCAGCCTGCAGCTGCCGCTGCAGCAGAACCGTTCTAGATATCACCTGCTGCTGCAGCTGCTGGTCCAGCCTTCTTCTCTGCTCTTCCGCCCTGCCGCCTGCTAGGCCTACTCTGCTGCTGCTTGCTCCTCCTCCCGCTCCTCCCCCTGATGCCCTGCTCGTGCCAGCGGCAGCAGCGGAAGCAGCAGCCCACCGTTCCTCCTGCTCTCTTAACCTCTCCACCAGCCGTGCCACCTCCTCCTCTCGCCGCGCTGACTCAGCGCGCAGCGCCGCCACCTCATCCTCCAGCCTGGCCACGTCAGCGTCCCGTGCCGCCAGCTGGCGCTCGAGCCCGCCAATCCGCTCCTTCGCCTCGCCAGCCATGGCTAGGAGCTGCCTCTTTGCATGGTCCACATCCCGAACCACTAGAGAGGAGGGAGAGGCCGGCATGGAGTAGGGAAAGCTGGTTCGAGGTGAGGGGGAATAGCAAGGGAGTAGGGCTGAGGAGCGAGGGAGGAGGGCGGGGAGGAAGAGCTGACTTGGGATTCGGAGAGCGACGATGGGAGAGAGACGGGGGGGGAGTGTTGGCAGAGGCGCAGGCGGGACCGAGGGAGAGGGAGAGGGAGGTGGGGCCGGAGAGGGAAGCAGAGGAGGAGGAGCGGGAGCGGTGGGGGGAGCCTGAAGGGGAGGAGGATGAAGTCATTGCCATGTCTATTGGGCCGCCGAATAGACCCAGACTGAAAGTCAGAGGACTGTTGGGGTTCATGCGCGGGGGGAAGCCTGACAGGGGAGGAGAGGCAGGAGCGGTACCAGTACCAGCAGTGGCGGCGGCAGCGGCGGAAGAAGTGGGAGAAGCGGTGGTGGGAGGAGCAGGAGAGTCAGAGAGGGAGGAAGCAGCGTCCCTGTGTGTGGAGGGATGCGGGCGGTCGGGGAGAGTGTCTGGCGAGCTGCTCTTCTTGTCCCCCATTGGTCCGTACGACGATGCTGACGTGGCGGTTGGGGGTGGGGATGCTGACGTTGCGGGCGAGGGTGCGAAGGCTGCCGCAGCTGCAGCCGCAGCGGCGGCTGCGGCGGCAGCAGCGGTGGCGTAGGAGGCAGGAGGCGCAGAGGAAGAGTCACTTGTCGTGGGTGTTGCTGGGTCGGATGCGGTACTAGTGCTGCTGCTAGCACCACCACCAGCAGGGCTGGCAGCAGTCACTTGAGTTGCTGCAGGCTTGGAAGAGGGACCACTCCCATCTCCACCACCACTACCACTGCCGCTGCTGCCACTGTTGCTTGCTGACGTGCTTGCACTGCGGCCCAGTCCAAATGAACCAAGGAGCGACAGCAACCCCAACCCTCTTGCACCTCCCCCTCCTCCCCCTCCTCCACCACCACCACCACCGCCGCCAGTGCTTCCTGCCGCACTCTGCTCCCTCCTCACCTCCTCCTCCCCTCCCTCCTTCTCCTCCCTGCCTTCCACCACCCCTACCTTCCCTGCACCCTGTATCAACCCCACCACCCTCTCCTCATCATCCGTCTCCTCCCCTTCCTTATCCCCCTCGGGAATAACAGGCAGCGCCCCCACCGTCACCTGCGGATCCTCCACCTCCTCCTCTGCTCTGCGCTTCCTCTCAAACCCCTCTGCTGCCACCCGCAGCAGATGCGCCTTTGCCTCCTCCAACCCCATCGGTCTCTCACTCTCCTCCTCCTCTTCCTCCTCCTCCTCCTCCTCCTCCTCTCCCCCCTCCTCTCCCCCCTCCGCTGCTGCCTTTCCTAGCAGGGTGCCCTGCGCCCTTCCCCTTCATCCCTGCATCAGCGCCAGAACCAGCAAGAGTCAGCCCTGCAAGCAGCGCCTTTCTGTCTCCCCCTCCCCCACCACTCCCCGCCCCTGATCCGCCTCCCTTCCTCCCCCGCTCCCGCTCCTCCTCCTCCTCCTCTCTCTGCCTCTCCAACAACTCGTTAAACCGCTCCTCCCGCTGCTTCCTCTCCCTCTCTCTCAGCTGCTCCTCCTTCCGCCTCTCCCTCTCCGCCGCAGCCTGCTTCTCCTTCTCCTTCTGCTGCTGCTCCTCCACCTGCCGCTGCTTCACACGTGCCAGCATCAGCTCTAACCCTTTCAACTCCTTCTGTAACTTCCCCACAGGAACATCTTTCTTCTCCTGCCCTTCGTCCTTCCCTCCTTCCCCCTTGCCATCTCCTGCCCCGTCTCCAGACTCTGTTACTTGCTTCTTATCCGCACCCTCGCCCTCCTCCCCTTCACCTCGTCCTTGTCCCTGTCTGTCCGTGCCCTGTCCTGCTGCGTCCACGTCAGTGGCCGTACTCTCGTCTGTCTTCTCTCCCTTTCCAGGTACCGAGCCTGCTGCAGATTCCGTTCCGACTCCTACTGATGCTGCTCCTACTGTTGCTCCTGCCGCCTTTGCTGCCTCACCACCGGCAGTGATAGCAGCACCATCACCAGCAACGTAAGTTGAAGTCGCAGTCGCAGTGCCAACAACAGGAGTGACAGACGCACCACCTCGACCAGCACCATCACCACCACCGCCACCACCAGCAGCAGCGGCAGCAGCAGCAGCTTCTCTCTTCCGCCTCTCCCTCTCTCTGGAAGCAGCAGTCAGTTCCGCCAGGGCGCGCTGCAGATGCACCATCCGGTGCACCCCCCCTCCCCCTCCCCCTCCCGCTCCGCCCCCCAGTCCTCCCGCCTGCTCCTCCTCCCCTGCACTACTCTCATCGTCATCATCATCATCATCCCCCCAGCTTATCTCCCTCTCCATTGGTGATTCTTCCTCACTCGCTCCCTCCCACCCCGCCTCCTCCTCCCCGTCCCCGTCGCTCCCCCCCTGCCCCTCCCCCTCTCCGCCCTCTCCCCCGTCCCCTAGGCCCGCGTTCCCCCGCTCCGCGCTTCCCCCACGCGCCTGTCCGCGCGCCCTCAGCGCAGCAGCCTGCGCCAGCAGCTCGTCCACCTTGGAGCGCATCTCCTTTCTCCCTGTATCCGCCTTATCAGCGTCTCCGCTACCAGCATTGGGCACCACATCAGCCGTCCCATTCTCATGAGGCCTATCACTGGTCTGCTTTCCGGCCTCTAAACCGCCCTCTTTATGCCCGTCGTTCGAGGCCAAGACAGGCGCAGGAGAAGGCACAGGAGCAGAGACAGGCACAGGAGAAGAGATAGGCACAGGAGAAGAGACAGGCACAGGAGCAGGGACACGCACAGGAGCAGAGGCAGGCACAGGAGCAGAGGCAGGCACAGGAGCAGAGGCAGGCACAGGAGCAGAGGCAGGCACAAGAGCAGAGGCAGGCACAGGGGACGTCAGAGGCACAGCAGCAGCTGCTTCGCCTTCCTCTCCCCGCTTGGCTGATTCCCCCACGACGCCGTTGCATCCTGCCGTCTCAACTCCTCCATTCTCTGCCGCTCCACCCCCTTCTCTCCCCCCTTCCCCCTCGCGCCTCCCATCCCTCCCCCCTCCGCCATCCGCGCCTCCCCCTCCTCCCTCCGCAAGCACCACCACCACACTCTCCAGCCCCTCAACGCCCTTGCTCGCTTCCTCAATGCCCTTGCTCGCTCCCTCAACGCCCTTGCTCGCTCCCTCAATGCCCTTGCTCCCGCCCTCACTTTGAGACCTCTCAACGCCTGGCCTCCCTTCTAGCTCCTGAGGCGTCTCCGAGGGTTTCCTCTCCTGCTCTCCCTCCTCCTCTGTACGCACAGCCACTTTCCTTTCCGCATTCTCCGCCAGTGTTCCCCCGTTTTGCTGCTGGTCATCTCCTGCCACCCGCATTTCCCCCTGCCTCTCGCCCTCGACAACATTCTTGCTCGCTGCCAGCTGTTGCCGCCCATTTAGCACCGTCCCAGCTTCCGTCGCAGGCAGGCTTCCAGACGCCTCGGAGAATGTTTCGCCCTTGTTACCCTCCCCACCCTGCTGCTCGCCCCCCTCATGTTTCGCGTTCGCCTCTCCCCCAACCTCCAACCCCAACCCCACTTCCTCTCCTACTCTACCCTCCCCATTCCGAACCTCTCTTTCATTAACTTCATTTCTCGCCTTCTCCGCCACGTTATTCCTCACTCCCTCCACTCGGTTATCGCCGTTACCACTGGCGATTCCATTTGCCTCTGCTTGAATGCCTGCGTCGCCCGCTGCCGACGCTGGTTGAGCCGTCGGAGCGGGCTTTAAGCTCTCAATTGACTGAGGCGGATTCTCGTCAGTTGGCGGAAGGCCATTATTCGTATCAGTCGAAACATTATTTCCTATATCAGCCACTGCGATTGGGTCAGGAACAGCGTCTGCTGGCTTGAATGCATCGCCTTCAACCGCGACGGACCTGATTGTACCTTGGTCGAGTGCACCGTCCTTGCTTGCATTGTCTGCGCCATTCTCCTCGGGAGCGACGCGAGACTGTGAAGGAGAGAGCCCGAAGAACGTCCCCCATCCAGGTCCTCCCCCGCTCATGCCTCAACTGTGACGCTAACTAGCCGAGAGAGCACAAGATACGTCTTTTATTTTTTCGTTTTTAAATGTTCTAAGTGGCGTGCTGTCTGATGGTTGGTGAAGGCACGCTCTTGAACATAGCAATAACGAGCAAACTCAAAGCGAGACGCCAATTGACGACCTGACTCGGCATGCATTCGACGAAGCGCTATCAGGTCGCAGTGACCTAAACTACATATGCATTGAGGAGGTATGGAGGGCCGTACGGAGGTATCGTGTTGTGAGAGGTGCGGCTGATGGTGGGGAAAGGGTTCTGCCTGAGGAATATGGTGGTTGAGAGCTGAGGAGATTTCACCTTGGAAATTGAGCGGTTTGGGTTTTGAAACGGCTAATTTGGAGAAATTTCTAACTTGTCAAAGGCAAAGCCACCAAACTTTTGAGTAAGTCAAAGTGCCAATAGGATCTCTAACAGGTGTTACATTTGACCTTTCCATGCTGACTGAAGTCGTTTTACCCCGAAAGTTGAAAGTTCTGGTACGGCTGGCTTGTGGGATGGGTAGTCGAAAGTTCTCGGGAATCTTGAAAACCACCCGAAACATAAATTTGTTTCCAATGCACCAATGAAATTTCGATGACTTCTGGCGGGAACATCGATCACCAGTGGCAACCGTTGAAACAGTGTAGACCCCCCAGAGGACCTTGAGAAAGTGGATAACGTACATTACAGCTGGAACGATTATGTACTTGTGGCGAGGTTTGCTGTGGCGAGGAAAATCGATCACTTCAATTTGGCGCAAACACCAGGGCGCAGGTCAGCTCAGCTGCCCCAGAGATCGTTCCATCCATACACGGCCGTGTTCGGTAGGCAAGCAAACACGACCGCTCTGCAAAGAAATTTTGATTCAGCAGACCTGCCCGAGAGCTTTCACATTCTTCAGACCCGCACATCATGGGCAGGAGTTCCCAAGGCGCCGCGGCAGAATGCCAGATGTGCCTCCACCCGCCGACGTTTTTCGCTTTTCTCGGAGGTCGGGCAGGGACTTCTGGCCATGTCGTTTCCCTCTTTTTCGTGGGCTGCCAATCTTGCAGCTCCGACAGCTAAGGTCAACGGCTTGCCCGTCAGGTTGCCCGTTCCCCACCAACCTCGATCTTCTCGAACTGGGAATTGCGATCACCGGGGGACTCAATAACGCGAATGAATGGTTGCCCTGAATTCATCCACCACATCCAATTCCTCAGTCATTTTGAACTCCCAACTCCCAGATCTCACAACTGCTTCTTCATCCACCATCACTGGTGGGTAGGTGACGGATCTAGGAGTTTTCCTTGCCATTTGTAGTATAGCCAGGATCTTGCAGTGTTATCGAACATCCGTCACTAGAGGGCTTAACCTTTCTCGTCGAAATGGCATCAGGAGACGAAATCCCGCCTGTTGTCGAAGACGTCTCGCAGATCGGAGGGGACGCTTCGGGGACGGAAGCCCCATCCGCGGAAATTGCCGATTCAGCTCCGTTGGAATCGGCCGATGCCATATCGAGCACTGCGGGATTCGAACCCGCGATCGGTCCCGATGGAGCTGACTCTGGCTTCGCACCAGCGGATGTTCCGGAGCTCGCGGCGGTCCCGGAGATGGCGGCGGAACCGACGATCACGCATCGCGAGTTCTATTTCATCAGAATTCCGCGTCCGGATTTGTCGGCGGAGATCAGCAAGATCAAGGCGGTAGAGCAGCGCGTGAAGGAGAAGCGCGACAAGCAGCAGGCCGTTAGCGCCGCGCTTCGTGCGAAGAAGGTACCGCATCGCGCATGTTTCACGGATCTAGTCACTTTATTTAGTTTTTTATCTCAAGATCTCCCGTTTGACGGTTTTTTGCCTTTCATTGTGATGTGTTTACCTCGATTTTGTTCCTGTCCGTCTGTCGCAATCCGCGTTGACACAGGCACAATGGTCGGAGGCTTTCGAAGCGCTCAAGGCCGCGCGGGCGCGCGCGCGTGATTGTTCGCAGGACGTGCGGAACAAGTTTGACGAGGCGAAGCCGCTGCAGGGCGTGCTGCGCAAGATGAACGAGAGCAAGGCGAGCGTGCGCGACAGGGGCCGCGGGCTCGAGTGCACCACTGAGGCGCAGCTCAACGCGCTGGTAAGCCAATTCTTTCACTTCTTTCATCAGCCAATCCTTCTTCGCAGCTCTATTGTGATCCTTAATTCGTTCCCAACCCAGGCCGTCGTCCCCGCCCGTCCCGCGGGCTCGAGTGCACCACGGAGGCGCAGCTCAATGCGCTGGTAAGCCGATCAGCATCTTGTGTTGCGCTCATACGAACGTTAATTAAATAATAATCTTCGTGTGGGTGTTGATCCCGTAATTTTTTCGAGAATAAAGTACCGAATATGATCCACACACATCACTTCATTCTTAATCGAGTTTTAAATACTCGAGCAGCGCGCTGTCTTTAACCTTCGCAGCGCTTGGCTCGCTTTGAGCTGCGACCATTTGAGCTGGCGGATCGCCGTACGGTTGCGAGATTTCCATCCCATCCCGGTCGTCCTCGTCCGTCTCACCCGCCGCAGATTGCGGCAACAGAGCATCGCATGCAGCGCAAGACGATCTCGCTCAAGGAGGAGAAGCAGCTGATGAAGGAGCTCAACGGGTGTTCCGAGACGTGTCAAACCACTACTCTTACCACCCGTGCCGTCCTCGCCCGTCCCGCCCTTGCTTCATTCCCATCCCGCAGATTGCGGCGACGGAGCACCGCATGCAGCACGAGTCGATCTCGCTCAAGGAGGAGAAGCAGCTGATGAAGGAGCTCAAGGAGCTGGAGGCGTCGCGCCCCAAGGTGAAGGAGATGGAGGCCCTCACGGCGTCCTTCCAGGAGAGCCAGGGGCAGCGCGACTCCATCCAGGAGCGCCTCAAGGTAACGCGCGCGCTGCTGCGCTGGTGGGGATCATGGGGATGTGTGAAGTCCTGGGGAAGCAGCTGATGAAGGTAATGCGCGCGCTGCTGCGCTGGCGGAAAGCCTTCTGGTGGGAACTTTGGGAATATGAGGAATCCTGGGAGAGCAGCTGATGAAGGAGCTGAAGGAGCTGGAGGCGTCGCGCCCCAAGGTGAAGGAGATGGAGGCCCTCACCGCGTCGTTCCAGGAGAGCCAGGGGCAGCGCGACTCCGTCCAGGAACGCCTCAAGGTAACGCGCGCGCTTTCTTAGAGTCGACTGGGAAAGTGAAGGGGATGGAGGCGTCGCGCCCCAAGGTGAAGGAGATGGAGGCCCTCACCGCGTCCTTCCAGGAGAGCCAGGGCCAGCGCGACTCCATCCAGGAGCGCCTCAAGGTAAGGCGCGGGTTGCTCAGCTGGTGGGGAGGCTGGGAGTGCCGGGCATGACGGGAAGGCTGGGAGTGCTGGGAATGCTGGGATGTGAATGTGCAGTGGATTTCCAGTACGTTATTGTTGTGCTGTCATGTGATGGTCATCACGTAAACATCTTTTCATCGTGGCTCTCCCTCCCCACACCCCCCTTTCCCTCCTCAAGCCGATCTTGCCGTGCGCTTGTCCATCCGGATACTGCATTTCGCGCATCCCCTTCCTCTCTAATCCCTTTACTCCCCGACCCTCATCCCGAACTCCCCCACTTCACCCCTCCACCCGCCCCCCTCTCCCCCTTCCTCAACTCCCCCACTCCCCTTTCTCCCCTCCTCTTCCCCTCCATCCGCTTCCTCCCCCCTCCCCCCTTTTCTCTCCCCCCGCCCCCGCGCCAGCCAATCATGGCGGAAGTGGACGTGCTGAAGCTGGAGCGCGACGCGGCGCAGAAGATCTGCGCGACGCTCGAGGCGGAGGCGGCGGCGCTGGACGAGGAGGTGCAGGCGCTGTTCGGGGAGCGCGCCAAGGCGCAGATGGAGGCGGACAAGGTCTACGACGAGCTGCGCGCCGCGCGCGCTGCTACTAACAAAAAGGTGTGTGCCGCCACCGACAAGAAAGTGCGCGGATAGGGGGAGTAAGCGTACAAGGCGCAGATGGAGGCGGACAAGGTCTACGACGAGCTGCGCGCCGCGCGCGCCGCCACCAACAAGAAGGTGCGCGGGCTTTGCTTTCCGCCCTCCCTGCGTCGCTCTCTCCCCCTTTCCCCACACCCCTCCCTTGCCCCCCCGCCCCGCCCACCCGCTTCCCCCACCTCCGCGTCCCATGTCATGACGTCTTATTTTTTTCTCCAGGCTTCCCCTCTCCCGTTTCGCTGTCGTTCCCCTCGCCTGCCGCGCCTCTAACCCACAGTACGTGGTCTTCCGCCAGCTAGTTCACCAACTCACGGCCGTCCTCTGCATTATCCCCTCTCCCATCCCCAACCTAATTCCCCCCCATCCCCAACCCGTTCCAACATCAGGACGAGGATTTCCGGCAGCACCGCGCGGACCCTCATCCTCTGCCTTATCTCCTCTCCTCTCCCCTCCCTCCGTCCCCCCTCCGTCCCCCTTCCAACACCAGGACGAGGATTTCCGGCAGTACCGCGCGGATCTTGCGACAATTCAGGAGCTCGCGTCGAAGAAGGACATCGCGGCGCTCGAGGCATTCTGCGAGCAGCAGGTGCGGCTGGGTGGTCAGGGCTTTCAGTGTATGGGGAAGGGGGAAGGGGGTGCGGGCTTACAGTATGGGGCTGGGAGGGTGGGTCTGGGGCGGTATTGCGATTCAGGAGCTCGCGTCCAAGAAGGACGTCGCGGCGCTAGAGGCCTTCTGCGAGCAGCAGGTGTGCCGGGGGGAGTGTGTGGGGGTGCGGGCTTTCTAGGGTTGTGGGGCCGGGAGTGGCGTGTGAATGGCGGCTGGGCTGGGAGCGCGGGATTGTGGGTTTGGTTGCGGGAGTGTAACACGAGCAGCAGGCATAACATGGAAGGAGCCGAATGAAATGGATCGAATTATGCATCACGCCCACCCGCCCTCCCACCGTTCTCTTATGTACCCGCCCTCAGATTTTCCTTACTCCTGCACCCCTCCCTCCCTTACTGCTCCCTCCCACTGTCGCGGCCTTGCTCAGACACCCATCCGCCTCTTCCCCTCCCTCCTTTTCCTTTTGCGCCCGCCCCCCGGTTCCCCCTGCTCCCCCCTCTTTCCCCCCTCTTCCCCCCCTCTTCCCCTCCCGTACTGTCGCGCCCTTGACAGAGGGAGCGCACGCATCACAAGCTCAACACGGACGCGGCATACAGAGCAGCATACGTGGAGGCGAATCGCTACAGCACCATCCGCCGCTTCCGCTCCCTGGACACGCGCAGGCTCGGCGTGGACGAGGACCCTGCGAACCTGCTCGACGTGCCGTCCCGAACCTACGCGCCAGCTTCGGCGCCTGCTGCTTCCGCGGCGGGTGCTGGGGAGGCAAGGGCGGGAAGCGCGGCGGAGAAGAAGGGGAAGGGGGCGGGGGAGAAGGACACTGGAAAGGCGGCTGGGGGGGACAAGGGCGCAGGGGGGAAGGGGAAGGGGGGGTCTGGGGAAGGCGCAGGAAAGGGTTCGAGGGGAACCGCCGCAGCAGCAGCGGCAGGCTGGGGGGATGAGGAAGCGGACGTGGGGAAAGGGAAGGGAGATGGGAAGGCGGGTAAAGAGAATGGGGTAGTGATAAAGCCGCCGGAAACGAAGGTGGAGGAGGTGGATGAGGAGGCGGAGAGGGAGAGGCGGAGGGAGGAGGCGACACGGAAGGCGAAAGAAGCAGAGGCGCGCAAGGCGAAGCTGGCGGAGAAGGCTCAGAAGCGCGCAGAGGCGCGCGCTGCCAAGGAGGCTGAGGCGCTGGCCAAGCGACGCGAGAAGGTGCGTTCGTGAGTGGGGTGGTGAGTGTGGGGGGGGGTAAAGTTGGTATATGGGTGCAATGTTGAATCAACTCAGTGCAGAGGCGCGCGCTGCTAAGGAGGCTGAGGCTCTCGCTAAGCGACGCGAGAAGGTGCGTGCGTGGGCGGGCGGGTTGTTCTTTAAGCGATGCTAGAAGGTGGAAGGGTGGATGGTTGGGTGCCATACGTGCGCAGCAGAGGCGCCAGCAGAGGGGGAGGCCCCCGAAGACACCACCACAGGCGACAACACCTCTAACTGCTCTGCTTATTCCTCTCCTGTTTTCTCCCTCTCTCCTCTCCCCCTTCCCCCTGCCCCCGTCCCCACTGTCCCCTCGATAACCCTGCAGGAGCGGGAGAAGCGCGCGCGCAAGAAGGCAGCAGCAGCAGGAGTCCCATACGTGGAAGGCGCAGCAGAGGCGCCAGCAGAGGGCGAGGCCCCCGAGGACACCACCACAGGCGAAGACACCTCCGCAGCTGAGGAGACCAACACCAGCGCCGCTGCTAACAGCAAGGGCGACGCGGGCAAATCTCACCTTCCCCCATTCCCCCCCTTCCTTCCTGCCCTCCCCATCCCCCTGCAGGAGCGGGAGAAGCGCGCGCGCAAGAAGGCAGCGGCAGCAGGGGTGCCATACGTGGAAGGGGCAGCAGAGGCGCCAGCAGAGGGCGAGGCTCCTGAGGACACCCCCACAGGCGAAGACACCTCCGCTGCAGAGGAGACCAACACTGCTGCCAACAGCAAGGGCAAAACAAAAAAACTCACCTTCTCCCATCCCCCCCCTTCCCTCCTGCCCTCCCCATCCCCCTGCAGGAGCGCGAAAAGCGGGCGCGCAAGAAGGCGGCAGCAGCAGGAGTGCCATACGTGGAAGGGGCAGCAGAAGCGCCAGCAGAGGGCGAAGCCGCCGACGACACCACCACAGGCGACGATGCTTCCGCTGCAGAGGAGACCAACACCAGCGCCGCTGCCAACAGCAAGGGCGACGCGGGCAAGGGCGGGGAGGCGGAAGCAGGGCTGTCGAGGAGGGAGCAGCGGAGGAGGCAGGCGCTGGTGGCGCTGAGGAAGAAGAAGAGCGGGTGGCTCAGCGGCAGTGCCCTGTGGGGGGTGGCTGGGGTGCTCGCTGTTGTGCTTGCTATCGTCATCGCTTACTATGTGGTGAGTGGGGGTGCTGGTTGACTGAAAGGAACAGGGAGCAGCGGAGGAGGCAGGCGCTGGTGGCACTGAGGAAGAAGAAGAGCAAGTGGCTGAGCGGGAGTGCTCTGTGGGAGCTGGCTGGGGTGCTTGCCATTGTGCTTGCTCTTACTATGTGGTGAGTGGAGGGTGGTATGGTGATCGAGTGTGAGTGTGAGTGGGGGTGATTTGGTGATTTGAGTGCAAGTGTGAGTGTGGGTGGTTTGGTGATCGAGTGCGAGTGTGAGTGTGGGTGGTTTGGTGATCGAGTGCGAGTGTGCGTGTGGGTGGCTTGCTGCTTGAGGGCGTGGTGACTGAGGGTGGTTTGCTTCTCTCGTACACACACCCACACCGATACCCATTCCCACACCCATACCCATTCCCACACCCATACCCGCAGTACCCATACCCGCTCACACCCTTGTGCACCAGAAGGCACTGAACCCTGCACCACACGTGTGCATCATCTTTATATGCTTTATTGCATGCATGCTCGATACTTCCTCCTCACCTCTCGTCCCTGCACCGACTTCAGTCCCCCTACCCCCCCTGGCCCGTTTCCCTCTTGTCTCCCTCCCACCATCCCTCCTCGCCTCTGTCCCAAGCAGCAGAAGGCACTGAACCCGGCCCAGCCCATATTTGAGGCGGAGAGCTAGATCCACTGCCGCATGGCACACGTCAAGGTGGTTGTTCTAGGTGCTTACACAAGCAGCAGTGCGGGTGCCTGTGCTGGTGCTGTCGCCATGCTGCTCCATCCGTTGCACGATGTGCTTATACGGTACAAGCAGCAGAACTGTTTGCATGGTGGCATGGGTTACTTTCTATACACTACCAGAGTAGCACCTTTGCTCTTAGCAATTGCAAGACTCTGGCCACCCATACTCAATAGCAGATTGTTGCTTGCAGCTCTTGTCTTCGTTGCAGCTACCACTGCATAAGCACTGATGCTGTTCTAGTATCCGATTGCTGTTCCGTAGTGCTCCTGAATGTATTGGCAGTGTTTGATGAATGAGTGTATCAACCTCAAACATGATGGTTTGCTACATATCTGTTCACTATTTGGTATTGTCATTGAACCACAGAGTGCTGCTGTAACACTTCCATCTTCCTTCCTGAATCATGTAATGCCAGCACACTGCAGCAATAAATGGCATGTACTGCCTCTACTTGTGCAGTTCTGTAGTGTCTCTATGTACTGCCTCTACTGGTGCCTCTGAGTCATGTAATGCCAGCACAGTGCAGCACTAAATGCCCTGTACTGCCTCTACTTGTGCAGTTCTGTAATGTCTATAGAATCATGTACTGCCTCTGCTAGTGCCTCTGAATCATGTACTGTATGGTCTGTAGAATCATGTACTGCCTCTACTACTGCAGTGCTGTCTGTAGAATCCTGTACTGCCTCTATTACTGCAGTACTGTAATTTTATACTGCCTCTACTACTGCAGTACTGCATTGTTTGTATAATCCTATACTGCCTATACTACTGCAGTCCTGTATTGTTTCAAAATCCTGAGCTGCCGCTACTACTGCAGCATTAAAATGTTATAAATTCCTCTACTGCCACTACTACTGTAGCACTAAATTGCTACAAAAATCCAGTACTGCTGTTGCACTTGGAGGGGTCTTCCTTGCTTGCTCGGTAGGGCCCCTCTTGGCCGCCAGGGTTGCCCCTGACGTTACACCCAAACACCACGGTGAGGTGGAGGCCATCGTTTGGGACCCTGTTGGGGGGGCTAAGAAGAAAAGAGAGGAGACAAGCTATGAGGCAAACAAAGCTCCTGCCTCCAGGGCAGGAGTAAAGGCAAATGATGCACCTCAGGCAGACCGTATCTCAGGCTCACTGCACCTACGGGAGGGAGGGACGCGGGAGCAACACAAGCAACATGCAAGCACGGTCAGCACAGGTTCGACAGGGCACGGGCGCACGAACAGGTTACGACGGTCGGCACAGGTTCGACAGGGCACGGGCGCACGAACAGGTTACAGACGGTCGGCACAGGTTCGACAGGGCACGGGCGCACGAACAGGTTACGGACGGTCGGCACAGGTTCGACAGGGCACGGGCGCACGAACAGGTTACAGACGGTCGGCACAGGTTCGACAGGGCACGGGCGCATGAATAGACACCACCTTAGCCTGTTGCCGCCGGGGCTGATGTTGGTGCTGCTGTTGTCTCTCCCCGTGCTGCTGTTGTCACTCGCATGCAGGTGTTGTCACTCCTCGTGCTGATATTGTCACTCGCATGCAGGTGTTGTCACTCCTCGTGCTGCTGTTGTCACTCCTCGTGCTGGAGCTGCTGGTGTTGTCACTCCCGGTGCTGGCCGTGGTGCTGCCACCATGTTGCTCTCGCCGCTCCTCCACTGCTGTCCAGTCCTCACCAGGTCCTTAGTTGCCAAGATGCGTCCTGCCAAGGAATGCGGAAGGAGACTAAAGAGGACAAATAAGTTGCTGGTGAAGCGCGAGTGAAAAGAGAATGCAAAAAAAAATGAAAACATCAACGAAAATTGCGCCAAGGAAACGGAATACATGCAAAAAAATAGCGGAAATTGTTCCCACCCTCAACCCCATACTCCCTTTTAGAAGCAGGCGTTGCTCGTAGAAGCTGCTGCTCCATCCTATTCGTCTCCATCCTCCCTCTCAAGTAGATGGGATCAATGCTGCCGCGCCTTCCATGCTCCAACCGCCCCACCAGCTCTCAAATCCGCCAAGCTGCGCACTGCAACACAGGAATGCAGGAGAAGGAATCTAAGGAGGAGAGATAAGTTGCTGGTGAAGGAAAAGTGAAAACAGAATGCGAAAGGAAAACGAAAATGCGACAAGAAAAACAACAAGCAAACAAGAAATGAACGAAGTTGCTCCCCCCAGCCCCATACTCCCTTCTGAAAGCAGTGGTTGCTGGTGGCAGCTGTTGCTCCATCCTCCACCGTGCCCCAATCTCCATCCGCCCTCTCGAGTAGATGCGGTTGCTGCTGCCACGCCTCCCGTGCCGCAGCGGTCCCCACCAGCTCTCCGACCCGCCATGCTGCGCACTGAAACACAAGAATGCAGGAGAGGGAATCTAAGGAGGAGAAATAAGTTGCTGGTGAAGGAAAAAGTGAAGACAGAATGCAAAAGGAGAATGAAAATGCGACACGAAATACAACAAGGAAATAAGAAACGAACGAAATTCTCCCCTCAACCCCATACTCCCTTCTGAAAGCAGAGCCTGCTGGTGGCAGCTGTAGCTCCATCCTCCACCGTGCTCCATTCTCCATACGCCCTCCCGAGTAGATGCGGTTGCTGCTGCCGCGCCTCCCGTTCTGCGGCGGTCCCCACCAGCTCTCCAATCCAACACAAGAATGCAGGAGAGGGGAACTAAGCAGTAGAGATAAGTTGCTGGTGAAGGGTGAAGTGAAAACAGAAGGAAAAAACAAATTGCGACAAAAGAAACAAGGAAACAAGAAACGAATGAAGTTGCAGTGGCTCCCCTCCACCCCATACTCCCTTCTAAAAGAAATAGTTGCTGGTGGCAGCTGTTGCTCCATCCTCCACCGTGCTCCAATCTCCATCCGCCCTCTCGAGTAGATGCGGTTGCTGCTGCGGCGCCTCCCGTGCCGCAGCGGTCCCCACCAGCTCTCCGACCCGCCATGCTGCGCACTGCAACACAAGAAAGTAGGAGAGGGAATCTAAGGAAGAGGGATAAGTTGCCGGTGAAGGAAAAAGTGAAGACGGAATGCAAAAGGAAAAAAACAATTGCGACAACAGAAACAAGGAAACAGTAAACGAACGAAGTTGCTCCCCCCAGCCCCATACTCCCTTCCGAAAGCAGTAGTTGCTGATGGCAGCTGTAGCTTCTTCCTCCTCCGCGCTCCAACCGGCCTCCATGCACGCATGCTCCCTCCACTGCTAAGCATTGCGCTTCCCCCAGCTCCTCAGCTCCGTGCAATGGAAAAACAAACAACGTTAGACGATGGAAGCAAAGCGGAAGCGGAATGCAAACTTACAAAAGGGGATCGGAGCCTTCAGGTCTTGGCTTCAGCCGAGACACACGAAAACAGCTGTCAGCATGAAAATAAAATAAGAATTGCAAACTTACAGGAGTCGAAGCCTCGTTAGTGTCGTCGGCGTTGCACTCACATCCAGAGAAGGCCGCCGAGGGTGTCGCACTCACATCCAGAGAAGGCAGAGGAGGGTGTCGCACTCACATCCAGAGAAGGCAGCGGAGGGTGTCGCACTCACATCCAGCGTTGACGAAAACAAGAGTGCTGATCAGGAGGGCGTCAAGGCCGAAAGAGGAGTTACCGAGAAGAGAGTACTGAAGTATTGCAGTCAGAGAGGAGAGGCCAACGGTGGGGCAAGCGGGAGGATGAGAAACCCCGATCGAGGGTGGCCAGCCCCGATCGAAGCAACGCATCCCGACACACGCTTACCGCGGCTCAGCTGGGCAAGAGGGAGAGCGGGTACCAACGAGAGGGGCGGCCAACCCACAATCGCAAGTAACACCACCCAGACACACTCTTTCCGCAGCTCCGCTCAGCAAGAGGGAGAGTGAGAGCAACGATATGGGGAGCCACCCCCAATCAGAGGCTCACCACCCAGACACACTCTTACTTGCGGCTCCGCTCGGCAAGAGGGAGAGTGAGAGTCAACGAGAGGGGGAGCCACCCCCCAATCAGATCATCAGCACCCAGACACACTCTTACCGAGCCTCAGCTGGACAAGAGGGAGAGCGAGAGCCAATGAGAGGGGGGCCCCACCCCCAATCAAATGACCACTGCCCAGACACACTCTTCCCGCAGCTTGAGTCCCCTTCCACATACGATAGCATCCTCTGTAAGTTCCTCCTCTTCCAACCCATCAGCCGCTCCATCTCACACCTCCACCTCACCCCAAGGGTGCAAGTGGGGAGAGCACACGCATGGGCAAAGACGAGCTTCAGTCGCGCCATCCTTGCTCCATCCGCCTGGCCTCGCGAGCCGCCAGCAAGCGGGTGGTCAGCAGGGCGGGTAGGAGGCAGCCACATGCAAGTGGCTGCCGGCCGTGCGTCATCCCACCACGCTGCGCCACAAACATCTCACCTCTCAATGAGTGGCAGGATGCGTCCGCATATTGCGCCTTAACTCCTCCAGCCGCATATTGCTCCTCGTTGTATCCGCTGCGCCTTAACTCCTCCAGCCGCATATTGCTTGCTCAATCCGTGAGCACCAGTCCAGCACACACATACCAAAGCAGCACCATTCACCCACCCACCAGAGCAAGTCCTTGTGCTCGCTCCTCTCCTCGCTGGATCCGCCGCGCCTTGGGTCCTCCTGAAAGAGCCTCGCTCAATCCGCCCCCGGGGGAGCTTGCGCTCCTCACCGCCTCTCTCCAACTCGCATCACCTCGTCTCGAGCTCAAGAGAGAGAGAGTTAAGAGCTCGAGAAAGCTCACATCCAGAGAAGGTTGTTGCCGCCTCTATCGATGGAGAGTTGAAAGACAGAGAAACGCCAGCGAGATACATGAAGAGAGAGAAAGAGAGAGAGAGAGAGAGAGTAAAGAGCTCAAGAGAGCTCACATCCTGAGAAGGTTGTTGCCGCCTCTATCGATGGAGAGTTGAAAGACAGAGGAGAACGCCAGCGAGATACATGAAGAGAGAAAGAGAGTAATGAGCTCAAGAGAGCTCACATCCAGAGAAGGTCGTTGCCGCCTCTATGCATGTCTGTACTCGCTCGGATCTAATACACGGACCGCTTGAGAGAGTAAAGGGCTCGAGGGAGCTCACATCCAGAGAAGGACGTTGCTGCTAAGAGTGTCGATGAAAATAAAAATTCCAAAGGCAAACGAAAATGAACGACAAAGAGATTAAGAGAGCTCAAGAGGGGGCAAGGAAACTCAGTGGGTCTGATGGTCGACTGCAGCAGATCGCTCCCTCCACCAGCAGCACCGCCTCCTCGCCCTCCACCAGCAGATCGCTCCCTCCACCAGCAGCACCGCCTCCTCGCCCTCGCACGCGGGTGGTCAGCAGGGCGGGTAGGAGGCAGCCACACGCCCGTGGCTGCCGGCCGTGCGTCATCCCACCACACGTGCTCGTCCACTCAGGATGCATGCGCTCCGTCATCCACGGCCCGCATACCTCCGTTGCACGCGCTCTTGTTGAGTGCGCTCTGTCGAGGGGTGACGAAAACAGAGAGAGGACACAGAACGGAACTCGCCATGGGCGAGAAATTAGGAAACATGAGAGTGGAGAGAACAAATAGCAAACAAGCATGAATGGCAGACAAGAATGAATGGCAAACATGTATGAATAGCAAAAACGAATGAATGGGAAACAAGAACGAATGGCAAACAAGAACGAATTGCAAACAAGAACGAACGGCAAACAAGAACGAATGGCAAACAGAAATGGCAGAATACAGATCGACGATCGACGAGAGAGAACAAGAGAGTTACCGGGGGGACCTTCTGTTTTTTACCAAGGGGTAACCGGATGTCTCACTCACTTCCAGAGGAGGTGGTGGTGGCCGCGGGTGTCGCCTCGATCGATAGTGTTGTGTCGATGGAGATTTTAGAGACAAAGAGAACGATAGCGAGAGAGCTCAAGTGAGAGAGCAAAGAGCGGAGGGCAAGGAAACTCAGAGGGTCTGAAGGTCGAGTGCAGCAGATCGCTCCCTCCACCAGCAGCACCGCCTCCTCGCCCTCGCACGTGGGTGGTCAGCAGGGCGGGTAGAGGCAGCCACACGCCCGTGGCTGCCGGCCGTGCGTCATCCCACCGCGCGTGCTCGTCCATTCGGGATGCATGCGCTCCATCATCCACGACCCGCATGCCTCCGTTGCACGCGCTCTTGTTGAGTGCGCTCTGTCGAGGGGTGACAAAAACAGAGAGAAAACACAGTGCGGAACTCGCCATGGGCGAGAAATTAGGAACCATGAGAGTGGAGAGAACGAATGGCAAACAAGTATGAATGGCAAACAGGTATGAATTGCAAACAAGTATGAATAGCAAAAACGAATGACAAACAAGAACGAATGGCAAACATTGCGAATGGCAAACAAGACTGACAGAATAGAGATCGACCATTGATGAGAGAGAACAAGAGAGTTAACCGGGGGGACCTTCTGTTTTACCAAGGGGTAACTGGATGTCTCACTCACTGCCAGAGGAGGGGGTGGTGGTCGCAAATGTTGCCTCGATAGTGTTGTGTCGATGGAGATTTCAGAGACAAAGAGAACGACAGCGAGAGCGCTCAAGAGAGAGAGAGCAAAGAGCGAAGGGCAGGGGAACTCAGTGGGTCTGAAGGTCGATGCAGCAGATCGCTCCCTCCACCAGCAGCACCGCCTCCTCGCCCACGCACGCGGGTGGTCAGCAGGGCGGGTAGAGGCAGCCACACGCCCGTGCGTCATCCCACCGCGCGTGCTCGCCATCCACGGCCCGTATGCCTGAGTGTGCTCTGCTGCCTGGCGTGCGTCATCCCACTGCCGCCCTCTGCTGGCTCTGCATGGGGAGCAACAAAAACAAAGAAGCATACAGGACGGAACTCGCCATGGGCGAGAGATTAGGGAACACAAGAGTGGAGAGAACGAAAGGCAAACAAGGATGAATGACAAACAAGCATAAATGGCAAAGAAGAATGAAAGGCAAACAAGAACGAACAGCAAACAAGAACGAATGGCAAACAAGATTGACAAAATACGAATCGACGATTGACGAGAGAGAGCAAGAGAGTTACCGAGGGGACCTTCTGTTTTACCAAGGGGTAACCGGATGTCTCACTCACTTCCAGAGGAGGTGGTGGTGGTCGCGGTTGTCGACTCGATCGCGGGTCGATGGAGATTCAGAGAAAAAAAAAACGACAGCGAGAGAGTTCAAGAGAGGGAGCGAAGAGCGAAGGGCAGGGGAACTCAGTGGGTGTGAAGGTCGAGTGCAGCAAATCGTTCCCTCCACCAGCAGCACCGCCCCCTCGCCCTCGCACGTGGGTGGTCAGCAGGGCCCGTATGCCTCCGTTGCAGGCGCCATCCACGGCGGCGCTCTTGTTGAGTGTGCTCTGCTCCCTGTGAGGCGAGCAGTGGTCAGCAGGACGGACAGCAGCAGTGCTGCCTGGCGTGCGTCATCCCACTGCCGCCCTCTGTTGGCTCTGCACTAGGAGCAACGGAAACAGAGAGAGGATACAGAAAGGAACTCGCCATGGGCGAGGAATCAGGAAACATGAGAGTGGAGAAAACGAATGGCAAACAAAAAAATAGGAAACGAGGACGAGTAGCAAACAAGAATGAGTGGCAAACAAGAACGAACGGCAAACAAGAACGAATGGCAAACAAGATTGACAAAATACAGATCGACGATGGACGAGAGAAAACAACAGAGTTACCGGGGGGACCTTCTGTTTTTTACCAAGGGGTAACCGGATGTCTCACTCACTGCTAGAGGAGGTGGTGGTGGTCGCGCGTGTCACCTCAATCGATATTGTTGTGTCGACGGAGATTTCAGAGACAAAGAGAACCACAGCGAGAGAGCTCAAGTGAGAGAGCAAAGAGCTAAGGGCAAGGAAACTCAGTGGGTCTGAAGGTCGAGTGCAGCAGATCGCTGCCTCCACCAGCAGCACCGCCTCCTCGCTTGCGCTTGGGTGGTCAGCAGGGGGGGTAGAGGCAGCCACAGGCCCGTGGCTGCCAGTCGTGCGTCATCCCACCGCGCGTGCTCGTCCATTCGAAATGCATGCGCTCCGTAATCCACGGCCCCATGCCTCTGTTGCACGTGCTCTTGTTGAGTGCGCTCTGTGGAGGGGTGAGAAAAACAGAGAGAGGACACAGAACGGAACTCGCCATGGGCGAGAAATTAGGAACCATGAGAGTGGAGAGAACGAATGGCAAACAAGTATGAACGGCAAACAAGTATGATTAGCAAAACGAATGAATGGGAAACAACGAATGGCAAACAACAACGAATGGCAAACAAGACTGACAGAAAACAAGAGAGTTACCAAGAGAGAACAAGAGAGTTACCAAGGGGACCTTCTGTTTTACCAAGGGGTAACCGGATGTCTCACTCACTTCCAAAGGAGGTGGTGGTGGCCGCGGGTGTCGCCTCGATCGAGGGTCGATGGAAATTCAGAGACGAAAAGAACGACAGCGAGAGAGAGCAACGAGCGAAGGGCAGGGGAACTCAGTGGATGTGAAGGTCGACTGCAGCAGATCGCTCCCTCCACCAGCAGCACCGCCTCCTCGCCCTCGCACGCGGGTGGTCAGCAGGGGGGGTAGAGGCAGCCACACGCCCGTGGCTGCCGGCCGTGCGTCATCCCACCACGCGCGCCCTCCCTTGCATGCGCGCCATTTGCACCGTGCACGCACTGCTCTCAAGATTGTCCTGCCAAGGAGCCATGGGAAGCATGAAGAGCCACGGGGGATAAGTAGATGGATACATGGATGAACAAGGCACCAAGGCTAGTGCACCAAACAAGGAGACCACAGTAATGCCAAACAAGATTGAGACAGCAACAATGGCAAACACAAACAAGTTAGAAATAACCGCAAACAAGAACAGCAATGAGAGAAAAGCAGCAGCGTTTGAAGGGTTAACCAAGGGGACCTTCTGTTGTACCAAGTTTGAACCGGGGGGACCTGTTTTACAAGGGTTAACCTTGCAAACCTGATGATGCACTCACGTTCAGAGAGGGTGGTGGCTGTGGATGTCACCAGCGAGAGAGCTCAGGAGAACCCAGCGAGTAAAGGACTCAAGAGAACCTAGTCACTCACATTCGGAGAAGTTCAAGAATGTTGCGGGTGTCGCCTCTATCAAGAACGTCGTGGTGTCACCTCTACCAGGAACGTCGGTGAGAAATTCCAAGACAAAGAGAGAGAGAGAGTGAGGAGGCGAGGGTAAGGAAACTCAGTTGCTTTGGTTGTCGACTGCAGCTGATCGGTGTCTCGCGTGGCTGCAGGTCAGAATTACACCGCCTTCACCGCGCCAGCCCCTCCATCCGCCCCGTGCAGTCCCCCTTTGCCTCTCTCTGCCTTCTCGCCTCGCTCCATCCGCCAGCAGCGTCGCCCGAGCGGGTGGTCAGCAGGACGAGTAGGAGCCTGTGGCTGCCGTGCGTCATCCCACCGCGCTCGCCCTCCCCTTGCACACGCGCTGTCCTTGCGATTCCCCTGCCACGGAGCGAAGGAAGGAATTAGAGCCAAGGAGGATAAGTAGGTGACCAAGGGTTACCGGGGAACCTGCCATTGAGCAACGTCGATGGAGATTCCAAAAACAAAACAAGAATACGATACAGAGAGCTCAGGAGAGGGTGAGTGAAGAGCAGAGGGCAAGGGAACTTACTAGCCAGTTTGATTTGTCGACTGCACTGATCGCTCATCCGCCAGCAGCACCGCCTCCACCGCGCCTGTCTCTTCCGTCCGCCAGCAGCATGTCTCTTCCATCCGCCAGCAGCATGTCTCTTCCATCCGCCAGCAGCATGTCTCTTCCGTCCGCCAGCAGCATGTCTCTTCCATCCGCCAGCAGCATGTCTCTTGCATCCGCCAGCAGCATGTCTCTTCCATCCGCCAGCAGCATGTCTCTTCCATCCGCCAGCAGCATGTCTCTTCCATCCGCCAGCAGCATGTCTCTTCCATCCGCCAGCAGCATGTCTCTTCCGTCCGCCAGCAGCATGTCTCTTCCATCCGCCAGCAGCATGTCTCTTCCATCCGCCAGCAGCATGTCTCTTCCGTCCGCCAGCAGCATGTCTCTTCCATCCGCCAGCAGCATGTCTCTTCCGTCCGCCAGCAGCATGTCTCTTCCATCCGCCAGCAGCATGTCTCTTCCATCCGCCAGCAGCATGTCTCTTCCATCCGCCAGCAGCATGTCTCTTCCATCCGCCAGCAGCATGTCTCTTCCATCCGCCAGCAGCATGTCTCTTCCATCCGCCAGCAGCATGTCTCTTCCATCCGCCAGCAGCATGTCTCTTCCATCCGCCAGCAGCATGTCTCTTCCATCCGCCAGCAGCATGTCTCTTCCATCTGCCAGCAGCATGTCTCTTGCATCCGCCAGCAGCATGTCTCTTCCGTCCGCCAGCAGCATGTCTCTTGCACCCGCCAGCAGCATGTCTCTTCCATCCGCCAGCAGCATGTCTCTTCCATCCGCCAGCAGCATGTCTCTTCCATCCGCCAGCAGCATGTCTCTTCCATCCGCCAGCAGCATGTCTCTTCCGTCCGCCAGCAGCATGTCTCTTCCATCCGCCAGCAGCATGTCTCTTCCGTCCGCCAGCAGCATGTCTCTTCCGTCCGCCAGCAGCATGTCTCTTCCGTCCGCCAGCAGCATGTCTCTTCCGTCCGCCAGCAGCATGTCTCTTCCATCCGCCAGCAGCATGTCTCTTCCATCCGCCAGCAGCATGTCTCTTCCGTCCGCCAGCAGCATGTCTCTTCCGTCCGCCAGCAGCATGTCTCTTCCATCCGCCAGCAGCATGTCTCTTCCGTCCGCCAGCAGCATGTCTCTTCCGTCCGCCAGCAGCATGTCTCTTCCATCCGCCAGCAGCATGTCTCTTCCGTCCGCCAGCAGCATGTCTCTTCCGTCCGCCAGCAGCATGTCTCTCTCTTCCGTCCGCCAGCAGCATGTCTCTTCTGTCCGCCAGCAGCATGTCTCTTCCATCCGCCAGCAGCATGTCTCTTCCGTCCGCCAGCAGCATGTCTCTTCCATCCGCCAGCAGCATGTCTCTTCCATCCGCCAGCAGCATGTCTCTTCCATCCGCCAGCAGCATGTCTCTTCCATCCGCCAGCAGCATGTCTCTTCCATCCGCCAGCAGCATGTCTCTTCCATCCGCCAGCAGCATGTCTCTTCCATCCGCCAGCAGCATGTCTCTTCCATCCGCCAGCAGCATGTCTCTTCCATCTGCCAGCAGCATGTCTCTTGCATCCGCCAGCAGCATGTCTCTTCCGTCCGCCAGCAGCATGTCTCTTCCATCCGCCAGCAGCATGTCTCTTCCATCCGCCAGCAGCATGTCTCTTCCATCCGCCAGCAGCATGTCTCTTGCACCCGCCAGCAGCATGTCTCTTCCATCCGCCAGCAGCATGTCTCTTCCGTCCGCCAGCAGGATGTCTCTTCCATCCGCCAGCAGCATGTCTCTTCCATCCGCCAGCAGCATGTCTCTTCCATCCGCCAGCACCATGTCTCTTCCATCCGCCAGCAGCATGCCTCTTCCATCCGCACAGGCCGTCCACCTCGCAGGCCGTGAGAAACACACACGCATGGGGAGAGATACACAGCCATACAGAGGCAACATAACAAGGAGGGCTAGAAGCAGCTGGAGGCGAGTGGTGGACCCGCAAGCAACAGACACGACTCTTGCCTCTGCGCGGCGACGCCCTATGACTCTCTTCACTGCCCCTCTGCAAGCACCCCCTGGCACGTACCATGCTCCGTCCGCCACTCTCCCACTCCTACGCCACGCTTTCACTTCAGGTGTGCTGCTCTTGTTCGTCCCACGTGCGAGCCAGCAACGGGAAGCCCCACCGTGCTGCGTCCACTCCGCGCCATTCCCCTCCACCTAGCAGACCATGAGGCACACACACGCATGGGGAGAGAAAACGAGCACACAGAAGCGGCGCAAGAGGAAAGGTTAGGAGCAGCACGAGAGCAGGCGAGCAGCGGAGGCAAGGGCACGAGACACGACTCTTGCCTCTGCGCGGCGACTCACTACCCTTCCCCCCTGCAAGCATCCCCTGGCACAAACCTTGTTCCGTTCGCCGCTCTGTCGTTGCCTCTCGTGGGACGCTTTCCATCCGCGTGTATCTCTTCCATCCGCGCGTATCTCTTCCATCCGCGCGTATCTCTTCCATCCGCGCATATCTCTTCCATCCGCGCATATCTCTTCCATCCGCGCGTATCTCTTCCATCCGCGCGTATCTCTTCCATCCGCGCGTATCTCTTCCATCCGCAAAGTTTCTTTGATCCGCGCAATTATCTCCAATCCCTGCAAGTGAAACGACCCAGTTTTATCAGGGTAATGAAAGAAAAAGAAGAAAATGAAAACGGAAGAAGTCCGTCCATGGAAACGCAGGAAACGTCATCATGAGCTCGAAGAGAAGGGAGGGTCATTAGCTTGGAGGGAACGCGGCTTCACCTGGCGACGACGCAAGTAGGTCCATTTCGATCCGCGACGGCCTCTTCAATCCGCGACGACCTCGTCAATCCGCGACGGCCTCGTCAATCCGCGACGGCCTCGTCAATCCGCGACGGCCTCGCCAATCCGCGACGGCTTCGTCAAGTCAATCCGCGACGGCCTCGTCAATCCGCGGCGGCCTCGTCAATCCGTGACGGCCTCGTCAATCCGCGACGGCTTCTTGAATCCGCGACGGCATCTCTAATCCAAATAAGCCTCCTTCATCCGCAGGAGTCACTTCGATACCTGCAAGTGAAACCACCCGGTTTTGTAAGGATTTTGAAGCCAGAAGATATGAAAAACGGAAATAAATCTGGACAGAGAAGGAGGTTCATGAGCTTGCAAAGGAAGCGTCATGAGCTTGCAGAGAACGCAGCTTCACCTGACGACGACGCAAGAAACATGTCGAAAGTCTTGAGTAGCAGGTCGAGCGATGCACGTAGCAGGTCGAACGACGCATGTAGCAGGTCGAACGTCTCAAGTAGCACATGTAATGTCGAAGGTATCAGGTCGAGCGTCACAAACTGCTGGTAGAGGTCGCAAGTAGCAGGTCGAGCGTCGCAAATAGCTGGTAGAGGTCGCAAGTAGCAGGTAGAGCGTCGCAAATAGCTGGTAAAGGTCGCAAGAAGCAGGTCGAGCGTCGCAAATAGCTGGTCGAGCGTCGCAAGTAGCAGGTAGATCGTCACAAATAGCTGGTCGAGCGTCGCAAGTAGCAGGTCGATCGTCGCAAGTAGCAGGTCGAGCGTCGCAAGTAGCAAATGTAGCGTCAAAAACAGCTCATGTCGCGTCGCTAGCGAGATGCATTGAAGAAACGTCGTGGTCGCGAGAAATAGCTGCTTAGCAGCAACTTCGTAGCCTTCATATCCCTAAACAAAACTCTTCGATCCGCTAGTCTTCAATCCACCTTAATAGTGACTAAAATCCACGATCGTTAGAGGTGCGGAGTTGGTTAGACCGCCGCGTTACTGTAAATCGAAGACGCTCGTGCCATGATAACTCCGGCAGGTCGTCCAGGCAAAAAGCAGCTATGTTTCTACTACAAAAAAGTTGCTCCGTGGCAAGGCACCTGGAAACGCCACGTTGCCTATAGACCACCATTCTTACGATATTATGCTACGTGTCTGGAATCATCCGTGATTTAGCAGCAGTAAGGACGAGAGGGAGCCATGGATTTCCGAGCTAAGAAACTGTCCCTGAATTTGCTGGAATGTGTGAAGGAATGCGAAAAGGCTTCCAGGATTGCCTGGCTAGAGGGATGGAGCTCGCGAGCAAGCGAAGGAAGCGAAGCGGGGGGAGGGAGAGGTGAGGGGAGGCGAAGCCCAAGGCGAAAGAGGAGAGGTGGTGTGCCTTGCATTCGGCAAGCCCAAGGGGGACGCCGCATGGTGGTGATGTGCTTACAGGCGGGGGAAAGTCTGCCGACGTTTTTTCCGCCAAAAGGGGGGGAAACTGCGGAAGGTGATGGAGTCAGCGGCGCGGCCGAAAGAATCGTCGAGGAATCAAAAGTTTCGCCAAAGCAGGAAGCATAGTGCGAACCTTGTGAGTGGCCTTTGCAAATTGTAACCGTGATGGTGCCGTTAGCCACTGACAACTTTCCGACTTCCGCACCTTTGAGAGGGGCCAATCCCCGCGATCTTTCCTGCACCAGCGCAGCGCATTGTTTGCGGAGCTTGGCGGGAACTCCGCAGCACAAAGTATAGGCTGATTGCCTGAAGTTTACCAATAGAGGCATTATTACAGTCAAAACTGTACACATGCACACATGAAAACAAGATGATCACAATGAAGTAAGCTACTTCTTTCTTCCATAGATAGACAATGAAAGTAATGGTAAAACTAATTTATTGATGAAGAAATTATAATTTTCAGGTTTAGAATACTTCAATAATTTGTATACCAGAAGAAACACCTGTCGCTTTGTATATGGACTATTGACAGATTTCAGTTCACAGTCTGAAATGCTGATAACATTCATTGTGCTTGGTACCATGAGTATGGTCTTTCACAACCTGTGAAGTAAAACTACACAACTATAGTATTATCAATTAGCACAGTCATGCCATCATGTCCTGCAAAGTGGGGGGTGCCCTGCAAACGACCCAACCGCCTCTGAAAAATCTAGCAGCGCTCTCATTTTGTCGCCTCTTGTCAAACTGTCAAGATAAGAACGTACTTAGATACTAGGGTTTAACTAGGGCCTAGTCTTAGGAGCCTAGGCCCAACGAGGATCGAGGGAGTTTGTACAAGGATGAGGAGAATGGAGTGGAGTTCACTATAGCACACACGGTACATATAGCAATCTAACAAAGAAGGTGCACCACCAACAGTTCATAATGATGACTACAGTAACTACAGCAAGCAGGATATTATATAACTTTGACACACCCCCTTAGCCTGCTTGCGGTAGGAACTGGTGCAGTCGGCACCCCCTGAAGGAGTGCACCGAGGACAGAAGATGAGGAGAGGAGGTGGGGGGCCAGTGCCGGCGGACCCGCTTAAGAACCCTTTTTACGAAGGGGGAGGTGAGAGAAGAAAGGGAGAGGAGGTGGGCTAGGTGGGCATGAGCGCGCACGCTCATAGCGATCCCCCCCCGTTAATAACCCCCAAGTCCCGATGAGGAGAGGAGGTGGGCTAGGTGGGCATGAGCGCGCAAGCTCAATGCGATCCCCCCCCGTTAATAACCTCCAAGTCCTCACCCCCCTTTTCAGTCAACCCCTTTAGCCTCACCAACGGGACGCACGAACGAAGACGGTCAGCAACGCTTGAGATGAGGCACGAGCGGACACGGGTAGCACGGGAGCACGGAAGCACGGGAGCACGGAAGCACGGGGCAGCATGGGATGAGGCACGAACGGGCACGGGTAGCACGGACAGATACATGAGCCAAACGAACGAACACGGGCAGAACAAACAAACACAGGCAGAACGAACGAACACAAGCAGAACGAACAAACAAAGGCAGAACGAACGAACACAAGCAGAACGAACAAACAAAGGCAGAACGAACGAACACGAGCAGAACGAACAAACACGGAGCAGCAAGAAATGGCACATACGGCACAAGAGGCACAAGACCGCGGATGAGAGGAGGAGGAGGCGGCTGATGCTGCAGCTGGACTTGAACCTCCCCCCCACAGTAGCAGCAGCGGCAGAGAGAGAGAGAGAAGAGGAGGAGCAATAGCGGTAGGAGCTGCAGCTGGACTGATGGCTGCTCACACCCGCCACCCCCACATCTCCCCCATCCCCTCCCCCCTCTACGGAAGCAGCGGAAGGGAGGGCGGGGGGGGTGGGGCGGCGGTAGCTGCTGTTTTCGCTGGCGGAGGCGCAGGCAGTGGCGCAGGCGCTCGCGCTCGCGCTTGTCACTAGCGTCCGTGCGGGCGCTGGCGCTTGCGCTCGCGCTTGTCGCTGGCGTCCGCGCGGGCGCTGGCGC